GAGTTATAGACCAATGCATCCAGAAAGCAACAGTTTGTAGATTATAGGGCTGCTACCTTACATTCTTGTTTCCCTTTTGCAGCAGTTCACTTTTGTTCATTGCTAATTGATATCATAAGGGGATTTTTAAAGAAACCATATTTAACAATGATAAGCATATCACAGGCTATTTAGAGTTAATTGAGCAGATCCCTAATTGTGGCACTTGCTTTTTCCAGTGTAAGATGAGCAGCCCAATCTTACGCATGTTTATTTATAAGTCCACTTTTGTTCAATCAGACTTATTTCCACACAAGTGTGCACAGGATTACAGCCTAAAGTATCAGGATGCTGCTTGCTAAGCAAATGGGATCCCCAGTTAAAACAAAGAAAATCACTGTGGGGTTAGTTACGATTGTGTGGAGGGCAAACATTCTCTATTTGTTGTCAAAAGTTTCTTTCCATCTCAAATTGTCTTTACAAAGAAAGAAAATGTAACTGCTCAGTACTTTCACTCCTATGCTTTCATTGTCCTATGCTGCACCTTCATCTGTTCTTTTGCACTAATAAAATGGAGCACTAGTGCAACAGGAACTAGTAGTTCCTAAAGTAAGCATAGAAATGAGGAGCAATGTTCATTTTCAGATCACGAAAATCAGCAAAGCTCTCTTTTGTGAGCTCCACTGCCCTACCCCATCTTGGAAACAAGGCACTGCTGGTTGCTTCCAGCTTTTCCAAAAACTTCTAGTTCCTATTGCACTAAGCTGTCCATTCACTAGCAAGGAGGAAGTATATGATCATGTCCATTAAATCCAGGCTTATCAGTGTAGGATCCTGTCCATCGATTTGAATTCAGATTTAGACATACTTAGAGTAGGTCAATTATAATAAATTGGACTTAAATTAGTTATAACTTAAGCCGAATTGATTTCTGCTGATCTCTAAGTCTAAATCTAACCCATATTTCTTACAAAAAAGAAGGAAAAGCAGTTTTCCCCTAAATCCTTTAACTGTGTACGTTTGCAAAGACATTTTAAGAACTTCTTTAAACAAGCTATAAACAGGGCTAGGCTGGAGGTATAGGTAGATCGTCTGGCTGGTATATTTGTTATTTTCGGGAGACTGGCAATAATTTCATACTCCTTTTTTAAAAATAATAGCAGCAACATGGCTCCCCTGCCCTCCCTAAAATTGTACTGCTGAAATGAAGAATGCTGGGGGATTGTGTGTAACTTGGAGTGGAATTGTGTGTGCAAAAACTGTGTTCCATTCAGTTCTGGCCTCAGAAACCTTTAATACTAAGTGTTTGTTTTTTGTAGCAGAGTCCAGCTGGTAGATCTCCGGGTTATAGTAAAAACAAACAAAAAGGTGTTGCTTAACCAAGCCTGAATTGTGCCCAATTCTACTGTATAACTTAAATTATTCCTTCACCACTACCATAGCTAAAAGACTGTCACTCTCGTTTTTTTCCATCTGTATTTCAGTTTTCATTGCATCTTTCCATTATAGAAAACTGTGTCTTCCAAGCTCTTGTCTGAATGAGTAACATTTTCAAGGAAGTTGAACCAATCCCTTTTAGACCTGGCAAAGCAGTTAGTATTAGGATAGGGTCTGTTAAGCTGGAAAGCCTTGAAGTGAGACTTAGTAAACCTGAAACTTGGTTGAGCTTAGAAAAAAGCTGTTATTGATGGATGGGCTTTCATGCAAACTGTAATGCCACTCTGTAGCAGAGTTCCAGTCTTTGGCTTCTCCAAATGGAGTGTATGCCTAAATAAGCAAATCCTGCCAAATGCTTTTATCTACACCTAACATTGGGAGGAACAGTACACATTGACTAATTGGGGTTAATGACCAGCCTGTTTAAGGATGACGCTGCAGGGGTAGGAAAGGGTAAATGCCATATTTGCAAAGATTGCAACAGATCGACTGCTTGTCTAAGTAAAAATTTTAACTCGTTACAAAGGCAGCCTATGAATTTTCTTGTGTTTGTGGATTTCAATATGCATATTTAACCCGTACAAACACCAAAACAACAGTTCTATTATTTTTAGTGTTGGCAATTATTTTAAATGTAGCATTATACATATAAAACTATTTTCCTGTTATGGTTCAATAAAAATGAATAGATTATTGAATACACAAGTATGTTTCACAATTACAGTTGGTTGCTCCTGCTATATGAATCTATAGAAGCATCTACAAGAGCTTTCATCCTGCATTAATGGACGCCCTACTTAGTAATTAAAACTTTTATTAATGCTGACCTTGGATGCAATCGATGGTTCTTTTCAGCTCTTGACATTTATTCTGTTGCCTTTTAAAGGCAGTGGGACCAAATTTATTAAGATAAAAGGTTCCACGCTGGATCAAAGGATTAAAGAATCCTTTCTTTTCACCACTGCCCCCCCCTTCTGCTATTTGAACCTGTATGTCATTATTCCTCAGAAAAGCAGCCATATTCCTAGTTGCTGTGAAATGTGCAAAGCAACTGCAACAGATCCTTTTAAAATATATTGCTGACTGTGTACTTTAATGCAGAGCATACCTAAGAGCAGCTTTTTGAACTGTATGGTAAATTTTGTGTATCTCTGTTAAGGGCTGCAGTTGTATCATCAGATAGCAAGAATAAGCCCCAATGAGCACACTGGGGCTTACTTTTACATAGACATGTATAGCATCGCACTGTACATTTCTTGGCCTCCTCTAAGCCTGAAATGGTACCTTTGTTTCAAATAATACCCTTTATAGCCCAAACTTTGATTAACAGTAACTACTTGAATTGGAGTACATGTCTTTCCTTTTTAAAAAATAATTTTATTTTTAAAAGCTTACTAATACAAAAATAATACAAGGAAACAATACAAGATACACAAAAGAAATATGTAAAAGAAAATCACCTTTAGTGTACCCCTCCACTAGGACAAGTACAGTATTTTTCCTTCACTTGTCTGTTCTTTCAGAAATACCTCCTTCAATCCAAAATTGCATTGAACACATCTTTCTATATAGTATTGTTTGTTTTGTTCTCGCTAGAAGGCTTGTTATTCTACTCCCATAAGACTATTTATTCCAAATGGTCCAGGAAGAAGCATTTTCTACACAATTTTGAATCCAGATAGTATTTCTAATGAATTTTGCTCCATATATATTTTGGCAAGAATTATTTCTATCTTGCTTCTTTCCAATGATTGGCATTTTAGGTTGCAGAGTCTAGAATACATTTTTTCAACTTATCCTAAGGCTGGCAACCTGCAGCTGTATTTTGCTTAACAGGAATTAACCCCACTGAAATTAACGAGGCTTAGTTTTATAGAAACACATACAGGATTTGCCATATATGTGATGATATGCATGTTACTTGCATTTTATCTTTTATAACAACATTATAGAAAACTACAGGGTATATAGGTGACTGCCATCTATATACCAATGATAAGAAATGTTTTTGGCTCAAGGGCTAGATTGCCACTCAGGAAATTTCCTGGGAGAGCACATACTAGCAGTAGGTGTGGCCACCCCTCTCTCTCATACACCTCTCACAAACACAAACCATTCCGCTCCCTCCCTCCCTCTCCTTCCCAGTCCTTGTTATTTATGCAGATCAGCTGTGGGGTAGAGAGGGGATTTTCCCAGCTCATCATTTATGATAACATGTAGAAGACTGTGATTTCTTGGTAAAAAGTTAGGATTGCCTGATGAATTGCCACAAAAACTGCCCAGAGAAAAGGGGCAAGGCTTGAGGACAAAGCCAGCAAGCGAGATGGGGAGCTTCTGCGGACCATATCCAGCCAATAGAACAGAGATTCCCTGTGCTTCCTATAGGCACTTAGGTGGAAATAAGCCAAATTGAACTCAGTGGGGCTTAGTTTTGAATATGGCATATTACTAGACTACACTCATGCACCCACATGCCTGAGAATGTGTTCTATTGAACCTGTGGGATTTCCAGAACTTAGGTGTAATTATCACAGAGAGAGCAGAATTGGTGATAATGTTTCTTGGATCCTTGCATTAGTAGAAATAACTTTGTGATCAACAGATGTGCTAGTTGTGGAGTCCCATTTCTTACCATTATTATTATTATTACATTCCATTACACTGTGTTACTTTTATATCCTGCCTCTTTTCTTCTTGTAAAGAACCCAAGGAGGCTTCACAAGGAGCTCCATCTTATCCTCACAACACCTTTGAGACATTAGCTTAAGAGTTTATGACTGGCCCAAAGTCACCCAATAAGCTTCATAGCCAAGCGAGGACTAGAACTCAGATTTCCCAGGTCCCCAGTCCAGCACTCTAATCACCACACCAAAAGAGGTGGTGCAACATCAGTTACATTAATTTGTATATAGTACTGTTGTCTTATCACCACTGACAGTAGCTTATTGCATGGACAATCTTGTACCAATCCTGAGTAATAGCTTTAATTACTGCTGCTATGAATTGCCAGTGTGGATGGTTCTGTTGTTACTTCTGCTGGAGGTTAACAACTGAAGTAGTATATCACCAGTGCTACAACTGTTTATATATGGGATGCAGGAAATTATTTTATGCATCCTGCCATACAGACAGCAAGGCTCACTGATAATAGTAGGAATTAGAGTCACTATCATATGTCACCTGTGCTACGTTCGGTGGGTGTGAGCAAGCACAAAATGTCACCTAAAGAATTTTGCAAAATGCAGCTAACTGCAGCTGCAACTTTTTTTTGGCTTGTTTGTTTTTTTACCAAGTGTGAACCTCAGCTTTAAAGAAGCCTGTTCTTCTTGACATTTTGAATGAAATTTGCTACATGAATTGCTAGAGGCCTGTGAAGGAAGTTAAACAGATAAAAGTTATGCTTTGTTACTTTATGCTGGCACTATCAGTTAACAGGAGAGGAACCAAACAAAAATTTATCTCATGAAATACACAAAGCAATATTCTTTGCAATACCAGTGTGATATAGCAATATGGTACTTTTAGCTACTAGCAGTGTTACAAAGGTTAATGTGCAATCTCTTCTCTGCCTTGCTTCTTCACAGACCAATGGCTGACCAAGTGCTTGTGATAGGCAGTGGAGGCAGAGAACATGCTCTGGCTTGGAAACTGGCACAGTCCCCTCACGTGCAGCAGGTTCTGGTAGCTCCAGGAAATGCCGGGACAGCTAAACATGGGAAAATTTCCAATTCAGGTAATAATGAAACTATGAACTAAACTGAGATTAACTAAGCTGGGTTGAAATGTTTCAACCATTTCTGCTGATAAATTGTTGGATTTCATAGGCAGCATCCAATAGCGCATTGCACCTCCACTGATTCTGTTGTGTCCCTGCTGATTCTGCCCCATAAGCAAGACCCTCTGCTTGCACAACAGAGCAATCAGAAATGAGCATAACCAGTCCTTAAGAACAGATTTTGTTCCAGACCTTGTGCTGTGCTTCCAAAATGTAGGTTAGGGACATTCTCCTGCTTCCCTCTCCAGTTTAAACCTTGGGGGAGCATTTCAGCATGAAAAAGGAAAGAAAGGCTTCTGTTTAAGCTTATCCTGTGGGGTGGTGGGGAGAAAATATTTGTATAGATGCACTGCAAAGGTTCTCTAGAGCCCAGCGAAGCTGTAGCAATGATCCCTTCCCACTCTAAGATGGAGAGGAAGGCTAGGTCTTGTTTTTTGTTTTGCAGTTCCAGGATAGCCATGCTATTCTGAGATGCACAGCAACAAACCCAGCCCTACTTCATTGAAACTTGGAGCTGGTGAGAAGATAGTATTTATATCTGCAGTTGCACTGCACTCCACTTTGGAAGCCTAGTAGAATTGTGACTATGATCTCCTATCCTCTTCCTTAGCTCCAAGGTTTGGAGGAACACAGGGGCTCATTATATTCTGCTGTCATCACTGGTGGGCAGCAAAATACTTACCACTGCAAGCATGATGGATGAAATTGTTGACCCATCTTTCTGCATCTCCAAAAAGAACATCCAGATGTGGAAACTTGTTTCCACATGTACACCTCCTTTGCTGGATTGGGGCACTTCATCTCATAGGCCAAAGTTTTTAGCTGCAACTTTACGTACACAATAGAAGTGTCATTTTTAATTTCAGCTTGTTGCCAAATTTCTTCTCAATTTTAGAAATGTTTTCTGAATCATAAGAATCATTATGCTCTATTTAACTGTGGTTGCATTAAGAGAATGAGATATTCAGGGCATTCTCGTGGCAATCATATGATCTGTCCCGGCCATAGCATCAAACTAAAATATTTGCTGCTGCTATTTATTACATTACATTTGGTTTCCTCTTTAAATAACCTTCTCTTTCACATGACAAGTCCATGCTGCAGTCAAGATAACTGCATCTTCATTTATATTTTAAGAGTTCCTATGGATATTCTCAGTGAAGAAGCAGAAATATCATCCATATATGGGGAGACAAACTCCTTAAAATACTAAGAATAAAAAACAGAACCTTAGCTTTTGATTTGATAAGGTTTTAGAGCTTATGATAAATGGGCACTATTTTTTAGTATTGCCAATGCCACACATCCTAAAGAAAGGCTCATAAGCTGTTTCTCTGTAGCCTCAGATTATGCACATCTTTAAGATGTGATCTGTCCAACAGAAACATGCAAGTGCACATTCATCAGATAATTCAGATTTAAGAGTTATAGTTCAGAGAACTGCAACTTGAGTTCAAAATGGTTGTCTCCTGTGTGACAAACAAGGTATGTTCAGGTGTAACACCAAATCCGATCCTGGTTTGTGGCAAATCATGTTTGCCATTTCATCTGAACAGGCAAGCTATGGTTTTCAGTAGCTGATCAAACACCATTATAAAGCTCCCACTGGGAGTGAGCAGCACATTTCACCTTACAAATGCCTGTAGGACCAAGAGTGTACCTATAAGTACTTGCAAGGATTGGAGCCTGCATAATCATGCAGTACAGCTGGGAGGCTCTATAAGGGACTTCCCTGCACTGTTCACCTTGGCCACAGCAATGTGGATCTTAGTGGTGGCTACGTCATGCTTCTGATCCTGCTTGCCATCTTGCCTTCAACAGTGCCTTGTCTTCTGTCAGCTCCTGTTCTTTGTCCTTTCTGACCTTGCCTTGTTCCTGGCCTTGCTTCACCATGCTGGTGTTTGACTTCACCTTTCCTCTCTTCTGCTATGCCTTGTCAATACCTGATCTTTGTCTGTTCCTGCCCTTACCTTTGGTTCTACTTTTTCACCTGCAGCACATAGGTCTTCTCACCAAAGCACTGCCATTATGCTGGGGTTGGGGTTACATAAGAAATCAGCTTTTCTGTAGATGTTTGGTTCCCATGGGAAGGAAAGTGAAACCATGCCCATCTCACACTGCTTCTTTTCTATAACTACCCATACTAGTTGTGAGTTGCCATGTCCTCTGAACCCAGCAAGCTGGGCTTCCAAACCACCCCAGAACCCTAAACCAAACCTTGGGTTGTTGGATATTTCGCAAGCCACCCACCTTGCTGGATTTGGAGGACACAACAACCTGTACACACCATGAATGATTATAGAAAGGAGGTGGACATGACTAGTATGTGGGGGCTTCTTCCCTTCCCCAGTTGTGTGAACCCAGTCACTGAATTTAAATGAGATAAAACTTCCCTTTTCTTCCACATTCAGAGGACTTTAGGGTGGGGCACTATTGGCAAGCACAAATCGCAGTTGCCTGGTAAACCAGGCTAACTTTTTTGGACCCTAAGCCTTCCTATACCTTTTGACCATGACCTGTGATGCTTCATCACTGAATCAGGAGAGACAGAAGATGACTTGTATGGGAAGAAAGTTAAAAAGTTAGATTGAGGAGGCATTTCCTAATATCCTCTGTATTTTCCCCTAAAACTGTTAACCAAGACCTATTCCCAAAATGTGAAATAATTCATTAATACTTTGTGAAATAATGAAATCTCTGATTCTTTATTAAATGGGGCAAAAGAGAAAGTAATTTAATGCAACTTATTCCAAATGCTTTTCCAATATTGCCAAAGTGGTAAAATATGGTTAAAATAAATGTTTTCTCAGTATTTCGTAATGTTATTTATTGTTGACTATATTTATATCCCACCTTTTTTCCTTTCAAGGAATTCAGGGTGTCTTATGTAATTCCCCTCCTATCTTATTCTCACAACCACAACCCTATGAGGACTAAGACTATCTGACTGGCCCAGTGAGTCCTTATGCCATCCTGAAATCTCACACAGCCCCTTTTGGTTCCCATACTTCTCTGTTACGAGGGTTATGGAACCCTGATGAGGAATAACATTATAGGAGGAACAAAGTCTTCGTGTTTAAAAAGCCAGGCCAATGAAAAGGTATTGCTTCACATCTGCCTGTTTCTGCCTTGGTAGCTCCCCTTGAAACTGCCCAATTCTCATCATGGAGAATGACGAGGTAAGAGGTTCTCTTAGCCAACTGACTCACATGACCCACTATACTTTAGACTTTGGAATTATTTATTCTTGACAAAGGTCAGAGAGTAATGTTGTTCTGTGCTTTTCTATCATGTATTCGGCTCATAAGCAAATGTTGCTCTGTGTATGTGTGTGTGATTCTTACTAAAACTGCTGTTTTTCTTCCATAGAATACCTTTGCAAAAAGTAGTGCAAACCTCCCAACTTTATTCATTAGCAGTTACCCTGTTGCCAGAACTTAAGTTGTCCCATGGCTTAATATTAACTTGCTGGATCCTAGTCAGTAACCTATAACCATTCAGTTGCAGTTAAGTTACATGTCTGTGTGTTGTGACTTGCAGCTTTTGCTTTTACATCCAGGGCATCACAAACTAGATCAGTCAAGGTTTTAAATGCCTCGGTTGCACCATTCTGGAGCTCCTGTAATTATCAAGTATGAGATGACAAAAATGTTCTCCTATTATATGTGAATTACCAGAGCGTGCAAATGTGACTGTGTGACCTTGGACTCCAAATATCTCTCAGGGCCAAACTAACTAGCAATTGTGCAAATGGCTTTTGAAAGTAAACTTCAGGTGTGAGGCCCCCAATTTAGATCCTGGCAAGTGGCAATGGAGGCTCCTTCTTCAGTTCTGATCCAAATCTTACCCCTGTGCCTTCTGTTTGCTTTGACTGGAGAGTTCTTCTAACACAAATAGACTCAGGGAGCCCAACTTAGACCAGTACTGTAGTAGACAAGATGGAGGCAAACGATTTTATCTCCGTCTATAAGCCTTGCACCCAGCATTTCCTTTTAAAGAAGCCATTCCTGTAATTGCTAAATTGTGTGAATGGTATTACATCAAATTTGGCCTTCACCCTTGCCTACTTCGGTGTGATATTTGGAGATTAAAGTGCCTCTCTGACCTTTATAGAGGAAGGAAAGGGAACAAATGTAAGAAACAAATATTGCCTTTGATTACAACTAACCTGTTCTTTCTCTCTACTGCTAGTTATTTCAGTGAGTGATCACGCTGCTCTTTCAAAATACTGCAAAGACCGAAAGATTGGACTTGTAGTGGTTGGTCCAGAAGTCCCTCTTGCTGCAGGTTTGCCTAAAATAAATTATGAAAATATTAGTTCCTGTCTCCTGTTTAAGGTATTAAGGGTGCAGTCCCCCTCTCCTGTCTCCTTACCTCTAACATGGAAAGAACTGGGCTGGCTGCTCTCCAGAGTTGGGAAAGCAATTGCCAGGGCCAGGGGTGAGAAAGCAAAAAGTTGATGAAGTTACAACAGCCTCAGATCTCTAGCCTCTAGTTGCTGTTTTTACCAGCAGCCAAAGATGTCCATCATATCTGCAAATCTTATCCCAAATCACAGGGCAGAAGGTATTAAGAATTACAAGTAGGACATGCAACAAAATATTGCAGTGTGGGGGTACTCTTTTTCAGCACTCCATCCAACCAACCATGATACGTCTTTCCTCTGTCCAACCTACTCTCAAGGGGGTTTTTTAGGCGATTAGTGGTGTCTCTTCCCTCCAACAGTCAGCCGTTATTCACTGACTATAGAGCAAGTTCAGTCTTTACTGGGCTGGTTTCAGCATTTTTCTCACACATCTGTCTTAGGCTTCTCCCCACCACAACGATAAAGTTATACTTCTGAAATGCTTGGCCTCTCCCAAGCTTGCTGCCCCTTTCTTCTTGTATGTAGATGGTGGGTTCATTATGGATTGGCACATGGAGGACTGAGTTTGCTATGACTGTGTATATGATTATATTTAAACTATTTGGATATCCATATAACTCTGGGATACTTCTGTTACTAGGAATTGTCGATGACTTGACAGCTGTTGGTGTGAGATGTTTTGGTCCCACGGCAAAGGCAGCTCAACTCGAATCCAGTAAGAGCTTTTCAAAAGCCTTTCTGGATCGTCATGGCATCCCAACTGCAAGATGGAAAGCTTTCACTAATGCTGAAGAAGCTTGTGCCTTTATTAATAGGTACTACATCTTTCAGAACTGAAAGAATTGTTCTACTGATTTTGTTCCATTGTCCCTGCATTTCCAGTGTATCTAGATCTTGGAATTCTGCTTGCTTACTTTCTTTTCATTGGTCTCCCTCCTTCAAGTGCGGCTTTCCCTGCCCTGGTTGTAAAGGCGAGTGGTCTGGCTGCTGGAAAAGGTGTGATTGTGGCTGCAAACAAAGGTGAAGCATGCAAAGCTGTTCATGAAATAATGCAAGTGAGTTGGGAATGTACAATGATTAAAAATGTACAATACCTGTGCTGGGGTCAGAAATTAGAACATTTAAAGAATAGATTGTCTATGGTATAATTTAAAATCTACTTCAGGTTGGGTTTAAATGTCATGTGGTCTCCAAACTTTTGGAGAATTGTAATTTCTGCAAATTCTTCTTTTGAAAGTATGGTTTGTACCCAGCTGTATCTTCCTGCTGACAGAATATAGTTCTTCCTTGTTGCTCCCCACGTCCCCTTGAATCTGCTGCAGGGGGTTGCGGGACCCTTTCAAGCAAATATGGGTAGCACACAGAGAAAACAGGAAAGGAAGGGAAAGTCCTTCTGTGCAATTGGAAGTCTTTACATACAATGGATAGACCCCATCCAGCCCTTTCCTAGAATTCACAAGGTTCCCTAGTTGACAAACAGACCTAGGAAGAAGCATAAATATTGCACTGCTCACATGTTCTAGATATGGTCAAAAATAAACCAGTCAGTGTTCAACCACTATTGAGTATATTGCAATTTAGCAAAAATATACTTTTTCAAATATTAATAGACCTGTTTGAAGTTATATTCTTGGAGGACATGTTCTGTATGTGCACTTTCTTTCTTGCACGTGGCTTTAATATTCTTTGATGGTGGCAACCAGTAGCTGAGAGTACCCTTTAGCTGAGAGTATAACTGGGGTCTTCAGGTCTATATTATGTTTTCATTTCTTCCCACATTTAAGAAGATACAATTTTGATACCAGAAAGATGTGCATATGCTTTCAATTAAGCTTCTTACTGAAGTATTTCAATGCAGTAGGTCACAACATGTCTCTTTCTTCTGGGAAAAGACAACCTGGCAGTCTACAGATAAATCAGTATATTTATTTTAAGACAATATTACTTGTAGAGATGCAATTTTTTCATTCAAAAAATGCTATAGTACTTTTCAGTTTTTAAAGTAGGCTGTTTGCCATATCAAATAATGATAAAATACAATAAAGCCAATAATTGCTACAATTACCAAAACAATAAAATTTCAATTAGCAATAACTAGGGGTAGTAGACAGTATTAGTTGTCAGAGGAATGCCTGGGCAAACAGTGTGTCTTCAGTTGACAATTGAAACATGCCACACTAGGATGCCACCTAATCTCACTGGGGAGAGTATTCCACATGGTGGTTGCCACAGTTAAGATGGTCCCCCTCCTTGCAATGTCCAAATAAGCTTCGCCAGGCCGTGGCATGGTCAGCAAACCCTCCTCCTCGAATAGTTAAGACTGAGGCAGCCTATGCTTATATTTAACAAGATGAGTTATTGTTGTTCATTCATTTTACTCTTAAAATTGTTTTCTGAGAACCTAGTATGCCCCACATCTGGACTAGTGCTGCAGTCCTAGATTTATTTAATAGAGATGAACATGTTTAGGCTTGCAGTGTCATTCAAGGATCCTCATCTGAGACTGAGGAGAAGGGAAACAGTGGAACTTCCTTTGGCTTAACCGGGAATGGATTGTGCCTTTGAATGTTGTACAGAATTCTAGTTCAGAGCTGGGTTTCCCAACGTGGAGGCCTCCAGTGTGTTGAACTGGTGCTTCTGTCATCTGTGGCCAGCAGAACCAATCAGCCTGTTGGCTGATGATGATATCAGGTGTAGTCCAACACATCTGAAGGACACCAGGCTGGGGGAGGCCACTTTGAATAGTGTCTATTCTGTTCCTCAAACTCTGACCAATTTTTCTCATCTAACTTGGAACTTGAAATGAATGAAAAATTATGAAAGATTAACAAAATTTGTTGTGAAAATGTTTGAGATAATGTCAGCATGTAAAAATTGGAACTGTTTGAGAAGAAAAAGGAAGCAGCCTCAGCTCTTGCTTTGGTTTCCAGATGATCAAGAACATGTTTGAAAGCATTTGCTCTGTTAGGCTGATTCCAAAGCAAGAGCTGGAATATTGGAATAGTGTGATGAATTAAAAATATATAGACTGGATAAGATGTGCATGTATACTTTAATGCAGGATAAAACTTTTGGAGCAGCTGGAGAAACTGTTGTTGTTGAGGAACTTCTTGAAGGAGAAGAGGTTTCTGTAAGTATATATACCTTACAACGGGTGGAATGAAGCTTCAGTTTTTGGCAGGAGAGTTGTACAGCCCTAGTTCCATACACAAAGCACCTTCAGTCTCAGAGCTGCTAGGTTGGTTCCAACCCAGTGTCTACAGGGCAGTGCATTGAGCAGATCCATGTGCAGCTGAGCCTTGTTATGACTGACTTATGGCAGTGGAAGAATTCAGTTTGTGCTTCAGTCTTCCCCACTAAAAGTGATGGGACTTAAATATGCTGACCTTTGGCTGCATCTTGCCCATTCTGAATATTAGGTACAGATTTTAATACCTTAGAATTTAGAAATTGTTCACTGGGAAAGACAAATGTAGTACCGCTTGGAGTTTTTCTTATGTGAGTTTGCAGAATAAAATATGCTGTTCAACTAAACAAAATGTTGCTTTATGGTGGAGGTGGACAGGTCACATATGCCCCTCTGAGGCTACTAATCTGTGGCCCAGTGTTACTGCTGCCCCACTGAGAACCACTGCTAAAAAAACAGGGCATGCAGAGATGAATCCTCTTATCAGTCTCTTTCTTTGCAGTATCAGTCAGCTTTTTACTAGGCTGCTGTCCTTTCCAGTCCTGTCAGGAAAGGAGATTCTCAGGGATTACCCCCCTGACACTACCTTTCCTCCAGGATGATCTGGCTTCTAACAGCCCCATTGTGCAGGAAAGTAGGCAGTGTCAGAGTAATCCTAACCTACTTCCTTTCCCAGCCAGTTTGGCCTCACTGGGTGAAGAGTGAGGTTAAAATCTCTTCCTCTTCAAAGAGTTCTGGGTCAGGATTGAGGGTGGCTTTCAGCTTGCTCCTATTCCCATCTTGAAAAGAATTTCTGGGATGGGGGAAGGTATGTTTGTACAGCTCCTGTCCCACAATCTGACTCTGCAGGGGTGGGGGTTGTTATTATGGCTGCCCATCTCTGTTTCCTAAATGATGCTGTCAGTTTGGTTTCCTACTGAAGAATTATGAATCTTTCCCTTACTTGTGTTGAATAATACTAATTCTAATAATTAATTAGAATAAGAACCCTGTTTGAAATCAAATAAGGGATTTTCAGCATTTCCATCCTCCCAGGCACATAGACTAAAAAGGAATGGAAAAAAAAATAGTACACAGCCACCTGCACTTCTGGGGCCCACCTCTGTTTTAAAGCATATTGACATTTAATTTTGTAAAAGGGTATTTCACACTTCTGTATTCCATGATAATGCTCTCATCAAAATATTAGAAATTACATTGGTATTTTGTGTCATTTCTGGGGGTTCTAAAAGAATTTGTGAATGAGGTGTCTGCTCAGTTTCCAAAGATTACTTTTGTCTACACTGAAGAATGCCAGAAGAAGTCAAAGAAGTTATTTCTTGTGCTGTGCTGGGTACTACACATAATTAAGAACCAATTCATAATCAGTCTTATAAGCCTGGAAACCAGGGTAATTTATTGATATTCCATTAAGCTGGTTATCATTTATATGCTTATTTTATAGTGCTTATGCTTCACGGATGGTGCCACTGTTGCCCCAATGCCACCCGCCCAGGATCACAAACGATTAATGGATGGAGATCAGGGCCCAAATACTGGCGGCATGGGGGCCTATTCCCCAGCACCTCAGGTAAAATACAGGGTGTGCAATGCTTCTTTCGTCTTTAGGACACATGCCGTGAGCAGGAGTAATGGAAAGAAAAAGCAAAATGAAACTTTGCCTCATTACATTGAGCTTACTGGACATATAAAGGTGCCTTAAATTGACCAGGTTTAGACAACATGTTGTTGAACCATGGGCTTTGTGAAAACATAGATTATTGTGTTCTCTGAATCGAGCTGCACAAAAAAAAAATAAATAAATAAATCACAGCTTTTTTAACCAGAAACAATCCATGAAGAAAATTCCAAGTATTTTTCTGGGATGTGAACTATAGGTTGTTCAGCATGGTTTATTTTGTCTGTTCTACTGACTAACAGCAGATCATAGACATGGAAATGCTTTAGACTGAACCTGAGAAAATACTTATGCTAAGTATGTGTTCTCCTGCTAAGTAGTTGTCTCTTCCATGAACAGCTTTCCTCCATAATGTTGACCAGGAGCTCTTTGAAATTATGCAAAATAGGAAAGCAATTCAACCATAAAATAGTACATGCTTACAAGTGCTGCTTTTTGTAACATTTATTAGCTATCCAAGGATCTGCTTCTGAAAATCAGAAATTCTATTCTCCAGAAAACAGTTGATGGTATGAGAAAAGAGGGTATTCCTTACATAGGTAAGTGGGAAGCGTGTGTGTCATTATGTTATCATAATATTCTTCATATCCCTATGACATCATGTGTATTGGTTTTGCATGGCTACAGCTGTGGGTAGTGCTGTCTAACTAGTTCTTGTAGCTGCAGAGGTTTGCTCATGCAGTTTCAGACACTGAGGTTGCCTGGCCTACAAATTTCTTTTGGTAAAACTATATAGGCCAAACCTATGCAAATCCTTTTCTTGACTGGAACAGTGAAAATTGCACAATCCCTGCTCTCTAGTACACAACTAGCCAGTGGACAACTAGTAGCCTATAGGCCCCCTGCAGCCCTCAACTTTCTCTAGTGCATGGCCCACAAAGCTGGCAGAACCCCACTTGCTTGCCCCTCAACTCTGCTGTTCAGCCATCTTGCTGAAGGGTGAACGTCTCTTGTGAATCCACAGCATTCCTGCTTCTGAGCCGTCTGTTTTCCCACCAAAGGAAGAACTATCTCGATGGCAATTGTTGGGGGATGAGAGAGGCATTCGCCTCCAGATCAACCCTTCTGCAGCAGCCCCAGTGATTCAGCAGGCAAGGAGGAGAGATTTGAACTCCTCATCCCTTCACAATGAGCTCTGAAAGGAGTAGGGTGTGTGCAGCCTTCATCCCCCTAGACAACATGGGATAACATTCTCAGGCCTTGTGAACCTGTTCTAGGGAAAGTGATGACAAACAGCCAATTTTAAGTGTTATGCTCTGATAGCCCAAAAGTGATAGAAGGGAGACAGAGCTAGCTAGCTCACCTTTTTCTTTCCAGATAGCTCCAGTTATCTTTGATTTGCATCATTTTAAAGCATTTGACAACAGGAACAAATTATACACTGTATATTTAATACAACCCCCCAATACATAAATGCTATGTGAGTTATGTGCTATTTGCAAATGACTGCACTCCAAAAATTGTGGAAACAGCTAATTGCAGACCTAGTTCTGCATGCTGTTTTATACTTACCTCCAAATAGTGGAAATGTTAGTCATTATTTTAAACATGCTACATTCTTTTAAAGAGGCTCAATATATAAGAGTATATATATTTCCTTATGTATATTCTCAATACATTGCACCTTTTCACTTCAGGTGTGCTCTATGCTGGGTTAATGCTAACCAAAGATGGACCAAAAGTCTTAGAGTTCAACTGTAGATTTGGTGACCCTGAATGTCAGGTAGGAGGTTCCAATAGTGCCATCCTATAAATGCTGACTGAGAAGCGTTCCCCTCTTTCTTATCTTATTTAGCCTTACTGTTTCTCACTCTTCACAATTCGAGAAGTAGAATAATTCTGTCCCCCTTGCCCTTATGATGCATGACAGTAATCTTTGGAATATAATTTTACACATTTTAACATGCCAACAGGTAAATGTGCTGAGGATGTCATGCACAGTGCTAGTATACATGCAGATGTTCCTTTTAGCCTCTTGTGACTTCTGTTATATTTCCAGGTTTCTTATTAAATGTTGCCTAGCATCACACTTCTTAATTCTTGTTTATATTTATTTAGGTAATTCTCCCACTACTTAAAAGTGACCTTTATGAAATTATGCAAGCAACCATTGATAGAAAGTTATCCTGCCACATGCCTGTTTGGATTGAAGATTGTGCAGCTGTGACTGTGGTCATGGCTAGTGAAGGCTATCCGGGAAACTATGCCAAGGGTTTGGAAATAACAGGTAGGAAACTGACACAGAGAAGCTAAACATGTAGAATATGCTATGTTTCTACTGTCATATGGAAACATTTGACTGTCCAGAGACCAGTCAATCACTTGGAGCCTGATTAGCTCAAATGCAAAATAGAACATTTTTTGTTATATTTTGATACAATGAAAGGATTGTTTCAAAACAGTTTGAAACAGCAATTTTCACTTGTGCAAGACAAGACTGATTGTTCTATAGTCAGACAGTAGTTTCATTTAATGGAATAGAAAGCTCCTTTTGCTATCATGGTGTGAATGCTCAGAAGCCAATCCTTTTGAATTCATTGTGGTTTATCTGTAAGACAACTGGGTGCTCTCCAGATGTTCTGGGCTGTAACTGCCATGGCCACTGGCCATGCTGGCTGTGGCTGATGAGTGTTGTAGTGCAAAATATCCAAAAGCAATGTAGTAAATGTATTTTAGTACTGCAGCCTTGCAGCACAATCCCTTACAGGTCTGCTTAGAAGTGAATCTCATTTAGTTCAATGGGGCTTACTCCCACCTGAGTTCATTCAGGTGGGAGTACATTCGGCCCTAGAAACTTTTTGTGTCCACTTGCCTCACAGTGCCTGGGGTTTGGCCCTTCACTTGGCCTCACTTCCTTTCCTCACATCACTCATTGTTTGGTGTCTTCCTTACCTTTGTGTTGCCTTCCCTCATTCTTAAAGGTGGAAACACATCTTAAGCTAAAACATGCTAGTATTTTTATTGCTGCCTTCACTTTTAGCTCTACCCACCACTAGAATATTTGACCTTTGGCCTGCAAGAGGTTCTCCACTCCCCTGGTCTAAGTGAAGACAAGATGGGACGGAGTGCGAATGTCCACATGTGACAGCTTTGTCTAATGGGTAAAATAGGAATGTAATAATAAAGAAAATAAAAACATATATGTTGGGGTGCAGTCAGTCATGCTACACTGTCAAGCGTGGAGAAGATGTGATTCCGCAGATGTTTCAGAATGTTGGGGCCATACACATTTAAGTTAGCTTTTAACAGTTTGACACAACACCTTTCTTGTTTAGTTAAGGTTGCTTAGTTAGCTGATCAATGGAGGGCAAAGGTTTTAAGTAATTTATTTCTTTTTGCATTTGCACTGTGACCTTTATAGGATTTTCTGAGGCTAAAGAGCTAGGCCTGGAAGTGTTCCATGCAGGCACAGCCACAAAGGATGGCAAAATAGTGACCAGCGGAGGCAGAGTCCTCACTGTGACAGCTATCAAGAATGACCTTGTATCTGCACTAGAAGAAGCCAACAAAGGAGTAGAAATCATTCGGTTCCGAGGGGCCATTTATAGAAAGGATATTGGTTATCGGGCTATTGCTTTTCTTAAACAATCCAGGTATCTATCCAAAGGCAAAGCTGAGGACTGATTAAAGCCATTATGTAATTTTTTCATGAGTCACATCTTCTCTGTGACTTTAAATAAACAGAAGACATGGTACATGCAAACTATTACATAATCATTGCATGATTCAATATACTATCTATTGCTAACAATAGCCCCATATTAAAAATATTACTAGATATACTTGTGTATAAATAACAGAGTACACAGCTTATATTTAATTCAGTTATTAAAATTTCCTTTTACTTTAAAACTTCAAACTAAAAAAAATGGATGAACAAGTTTGGCTTGGCTTACACATATTTTTCTCTGGGTAGTTACAATATAGTCATATCAGAGTATTAAACTAGTTTATCATTCTACCAGTCTTACGTATATACCACAAAATTGCTAAAACTGGCACTGTATCTATTTCTTTGGAATGACTCGTATGTGATCACTTATTTGATAAGGGATCTCAATATGTGTGGTGTGCTCAGTCCTGTGAGGTGAAATTGGTTTTCACATATATGCATTACAAGTTGATGTTGCCCAGATGGACTTCCACTTGCTCAGTGGGACTCTCATCTTCTCTCCCCACTAGCCCTGCCCTCTCTGCCCTCCCTCTATGCTGTAGAGGTCCTCCAAACCTCTGGAGCAAATTTTGAGGGCAGGCAATAGGCTGCAGGAGGGAGGGAGAATTGCCTCTCTTCTTGTTCTATTGGCACAAGCCCCTGTGTTGGCAGGAGGGCTTAACTGCAGGCAACTCCATCCATTAACAAATGTAAGAGGTTCCCTTATGGGGAATCCTAAGCATCAAACTATACACTGGAATCAATTGAGAGTTTCCCCCCTTATTTAAACCCCCACTGAGGCTGCATAGCAGGAGCTGGAATTTCAGGGCAGTGAAGGCAAAAATCCTCCTTCCAGAATGCCATGATACTAAATGGAATTGGAGCCACATGCACTTACACTGAGGTAAATAAGCCAACTGCATGTAGTTCTATGCACAGAGTGCATAGCTCTGATTTGAAGAACGTGCCGTTTGGTCCTAAGCCTAAGTGGTTGTAACAAATGTAAATTTATGGTTTTGGGATACAGTTAACTGGAGTAACAAAAAGTGTCCTGAAGTATATGTTGGCAAAGTTGAATGTCTGGGCACTATGGTGAAAATTATGCATAGCTATAAACAGGTATGGCAGCTCAAAGAAGTACAGAAAATACCATGACTTGTGCTGACAGCACATAGCAAATGTGGAATGATGATATTGGTGATCTTTCTTTCACTAGAAAAGATAAGGTTAGAGTCAACTGAGTCCTCAGAAGCTGGCCTTCTGGATGATTTGTCTTGGAAAGAAATAATCTTTCAACAGCTTATGTACTTAAAGGATTTAGTAATGTTACATGGTCAGATATATGTATATGCAATTACATATCAAACTTGAAAATTAGTCCTGTACCATTAGTACACCACCTGAACACCAAAAACTTAAAATATATTACTATAATTTTCATCTTTGTACTGCTGCTACATTTTATTTTAGTTTTATTTTAGTTTATTTTCTATTATACTTGTAAACTTTTATGTTTTATTGTGCTACAGTACATTGTTTACATTGTTGTGAGCTGCTCAGAAAGCTTTGATCATTGGATAGTACAGAAATGTAATAGAGACATAGATCACAGAGTGACAGATAGACCTGGTCTTCTACCTATGTTAAAGACACAGGAACAGGATGAATTAAAAAGTTAGCGGTTACGATCCTGGTTAATTATTACAACCCTGTATTGGCACTGGAAAACTTGACTCCTGATGGATTGTACAAACAGATGAATTGATAACTGACTATTCTGGTTTTTTAGAGGCCTGACTTACAAGGATAGTGGTGTAGATATTGCAGCTGGTAACACCTTGGTTCAGCAAATTAAACCTTTTGCAGCAGCCACATCCAGGCCAGGTAGGAGAAGCTGGAATATTTTTAATTAAAATGTTTGTAGCATTAATTCATTCATTCAGTCATTCATTCATGAAAACTGAGTTCTTGATACCTCATTAATATTCTATAATGATATGTAGCTGCTTCATTTGTGTTTTGCATTGGGAATTCAAGGGTAAGCATCTCAATTGGCCACTATTTAGAAATTACTGAATATTGGTCTTTTCTTACTAATTGGACCCTTTGTTAGTGTCTTAAATGAAAACAATTCCATTTGGCCTATTTTCCCTTTTAACTCTTTGAATTAAATGGAGTTGCTCCCAGGTAAGTAAGTATAACAAACTTAAGTTACAGTCCTAAGCATACTTACTATGGAATAAACCCCACTGAACATCATGGGACTTGCTTTCAATTAAAACACAATGAACTGCACCATAAAACAAAGAAACATGGTCCAGAATAAAAGAAGGGTTTGGGTCTTCCCTCACCTTCCAGCTTACTAACTGTAGCTTAGAACCACTATTGGTATGTACAATGCTGGGGGAGAAACTTCATCCCCTTCACCTCTTATTTTCTGTAGTGGTTTTCCAGGACCTGAGGATGGGGAAAATAAGTCAGAGGAAAAGTTTGATCAATAATCTTGCAAAATCCACCCCAAAGCCTCTGTCCTGTTAACAGGTCCTTTTATCTTAATTGGTAGGCTGTAATGCTGAGCTTGGAGGGTTTGCTGGACTTTTTGACTTGAAAGAAGCAGGATATAAAGATCCAGTCTTGGTATCTGGAACAGATGGTGTTGGAACAAAGCTCAAGGTAATGGGAAGGAGGGTATTCAATTCAGGGGGTTTTTGTTTTGTGCAGACTTTAACTTGCATTTTATATGGGGACTGAAAAACTGGTTCCATACCAAATTTGTAGTTTTGGTATGGGAAAGGGACCATAGCTCAGTACTAGAGAAAGCAAAAGTCTTGGGTTCACTCCCCAGCTTCTCCATTTAGAAACATCAGGCAGTGCTGGGCTCTCCAACTTGGTATCTGTGAACACATTTTCTGGACTCCACCAAGCTCCTGATTTTTAAAAAATGACTGAGTGCAAAGTGAAATGCTGCTCTCCAACCCCATCTTTATCAGGGTTCAAAATAATAGGGGGGGTTTGTTTGATTTGGAGGTTGAACCCACCCCACCTCTCCCTTATACTTAGGTTCTTGGGCAAGTTACTTTTTATTTAGTCTCACAAATTTGCTTTCTAGAAATTGGGATTTTATGAGCCACTTTATGAATAGGAAAGTCTCCCATGTCAGCAGTTTTGTGAGAGCATCCATGACATCCTCTCAAAATTCTGAATGTGCCCACCAACTCCAGAAGTTTAGAGATTTCTGCTGAGGTTGTAGGAAAGATTACTGCCTAAAACTGGGCCTGTTGGGAATGGAAAATACTAGACTGGCTGGACAAGTAGTTTGACCTGGTGAAGAGCAGCTTCCTGCTCTCCTTTCTACACAATGACAGAATTAATATTTTGAGCCTGCATTCACAGTGATGGGGCTGTCATAGACAGAACATTTTGGAAGGCTTCCATTCATGAGAGCACCATAAATTAGAAACAGCTTGATGGCATGTAATAATTTACAGTGTGCTTATTTTGAAAATCATGAGTCGTTTCATGTTTCTCCACCTGAAAATGGTCTCAAGTAACAGTTCAATTTTCTGCCCCCTCCCCTTATTTCCAGAGAAAGCAAGAGAGAAGGTGGGGGAGGAAGCACATTACAGGATTCTGTAATAATTGTTAGCTGCACTTTTTGTTTTCCAATGTGCATACTATATGAAAAGAAAAATTAATCTGGTGGGTCCACCAACCTTTGATGTTTTAGTGTTTGAGGTATCCAGACCAAGGGCTTTGGACGGCATGCTATTCAAGAAGCTTATACTTTCCCCCTATTATCTTTGAAATGTGCATTTCTTCTACTACTTTCTGCAATTACTTGTGCCACTTCCTTAAACCATTTCTAATGAGCTTAAGTGGACTCCGGGGGATGGTAGAGGACAGAAAGGCCTGGAGAAATGTTGTCCATGGGGTCGCGATGGGTCGGACATGACTTCGTGACTAACAACAATAATGCCAGTCCTGCCCAGTACCTGTCCAGTGCCTATCTCTTAGCTATCGCTTTGCCTGTTCAGTATTCCTTGCAAGTCTGACACTTGTTCCATCTGCCTAATAAATAGGACAGGGTTGAGATCCTGGTGAACTGCATGTGTTGTGGGCTATAACTTCCACAACTCCTGGCCATTCCCATGCTTGCAAGAGATATAATCAGAAACATCTGGAACTTATGTGATTTGAGGTCTAAAACATCTGCCTAGCCCAAGGTAGGGCATCCCAAACTCTGGTGATGCCATGTGCTTAATTTTGTGGTTCAGACAGCAAAAGCCTTTGAGAACCATGTGCCTTGTAAGGAGGGGTATGGGGTGGCTTTTCCCAATCTGGTACCATCCACATTTTTGGGCTAGAACTCCAAACATTCCTGAATGTTGGATGTGCTGGCTGGAGTTGATGGGTGGTCAAGTCCAAAACAGCTGGAGGGTGGTACAGGGATATGCTTATATTAGAACCAGAAGATAAATAATTGCCAGCATACTTTGTGGGAAATGTCCAAGGATGTAATCTGCCATTAGTCCCTCTTCCTCAAGCTACATTGTCTAAAAGAGTTGCACAAGCATACTTCACTGTCTCCTATAATTAAAGCCCTTGTTTGCCTTCCATTGCAATTAGAAGACAGATCTTCCAGACATGGTACCTAAGATATTTCAGATTCTGAAATTATTTGCCTAACTCTCATTACAGATTGCCCAGCTGTGCAACAAGCATGACACAATTGGTCAGGACTTGGTCGCCATGTGTGTCAATGATGTCCTAGCTCAAGGAGCTGAGCCCCTCTTTTTCCTTGATTATTTTGCCTGTGGAAAGCTGGATGTTGAGATGGCACGGACAATCATAGCTGGAGTAGCTGAGGCTTGTAAATTGGCAGGATGTGCTCTCCTTGGTATGAGTGATTACCCATTTCTTCTCTGGCAGGAAAAAAAGCCTCATTCTCCCCAGTTAGATTGGGGGGAAATGTTGTTGAACATGATGCACCGGTTACATCTGTGTTACTCTGAGTCCAAGGATCAGCAACACATTGGATTTGCAAAGAATTGTCACAGTACTGTGACAAGAACTGTGCACTGTGTTGTGAGTGAAAGAGATTTAAAAGGGGGATTGTCCAGAGAAAAAGAGTAAGAGTGGCAGGCTAGACTTGCTCCTTGTCCTTATCTACCAGCTTGCTGGTTTTCCAAGTTTAGGCAGCTTTTGTACATGGGGTAGATTCAAAGACATGATCCCCTATGGAAGTATGAACTGGTGTAGTCCAAGAAGGGCTACAGCATGTGGCTTTCCTGGTGGTATAACCAGGTACTTAGGCAAGCTCAAAATATTGTCTTTTCCATTGTGATAGGCTATTTTTTTTCAAAATTTCCTCTCAAAGTGTGTCTGCTCTTTCACTATTTTCACACAAAAAGCATTTAGAGCTTTTTACTCATTGCTTAAACCTCCTTTCCCCTTCCTAATAATTTAATCACCTCTAATCATCCATGGCATGAAAATGATGGAGATTGCAGAGCAGTACACCAGGAAGGCTAGCTTAAGGAGTTGGCATGGATTGATTGTTTTCTTCTCCATATTATAATGAGTAGAACTGGAAAAATTAGGATTTTTAAAAATAGCATATTTCACAATATGGGGCTTTTCTTGAAGAGCAAAAAAGCTTTTATGGCTGTGTACATTTTACTCTTTTGGATGGGTAGATTTCACTTTTTTAAAGCGTTTCTCTGTGAATTGGGGATTTTGCTGAGCTTGCTATACCTCAGTGCATATAAGAACTCAAGAATTAAAGTTCCTTTAGTGGCCACCACTGCTTTGTTCTAACACTCACAATGTCTTTCTCTCTTCCTTTCCTGTCTCAGGAGGAGAAACTGCTGAAATGCCTGGCATGTATCTACCTGGAGAATATGACCTGGCTGGCTTTGCTGTTGGTGCTGTGGAACGAGGACAGATGCTTCCCCAGCTGGACAGAATTGTTCATGGAGACATGATTATTGGAATTGCCTCCTCTGGTGTTCACAGCAATGGGTTTAGCCTTGTGAGAAAGATTGTCGAAAACTCTCCTTTAGATTTTTCCTCTCCTTCAGTGGGTGGCCCTAGTGATCAGACGTTAGGTAAGCACCATCGATACAATCTCCTCCTCCTCTTGATACAGCATCTGGTCATCTTCTTGTTGCCCAAAGAGTTTCCTTTGAAAGGCAACTAGGGAAGGAGAAGCACTGTACCTCTCCCATCTGTATGTGCGCCTATGTGATATTTGTGCTTCGATGGCCCTCGTGCCCCTTTAATTACACCCCATAATTAATACATAATATTAATTATGAGATGGGGTGCCACACAATTAGGGGAAGAGGGACTATGCTGCTGGTCATGCCTTGGTCTGCTCTAGCTTCTCCCTAAACTCACATTAATTATGGATGTTTATAGGTGAAAATCTATGTGCACAGACCTTTAGGGAACCTGGAACTGCAGCGGTACAGGGTTCCAGCTTATGCAGAACACACAAGGAGCAGAGTGAGCCGCACAGCCCTGCATCCCCCTAATGGTGTGGAGTCCTCCTCAAATGTTTAACATATTACAGATGAGCTCAGTAATTTCCATGTTAGGCCTCCTTGCTCGGTTTCAACCATCATGCATTATTCTTTTACTACTTCTTTTGCTACTTCTGTTCACAGGACAGCAACTGCTTACACCCACCAAAATCTACAGCAAAGTTCTTATGCCAGCCCTTCGCTCAGGTCACGTGAAGGCGTATGCCCATATTACTGGGGGAGGGCTGCTGGAAAACATCCCGCGGGTACTCCCAGCATCACTTGGTGTAGTTTTAGGTAAGAAAGGCCTGGTAATGGTTAATGCATAGGCAAAAGCTGTGAATATGGTATAGGATACTCTGGTGTGTGTGCATTAGGAGCAACTTTTCAATGCTAATTTCTCTCTCCCCTCTGTGCCGGTGCTGCTACTGCTAGGATGAGGCTGACATGGCTGACCACTCTCTTCTGGCCACTCTCCTCCTGTGACAGTGGCTTAAGCTGGAAGGTCGCTGGCACATATCTCTAAAGTGGCAGCTGCTGCCTGCCTTCTGAGGCATACTAAGAGTAAGGTGGGTGGCCACTCTGAAAAGCCTCTACAGCCATTCTCCAGCTTTGGAAGTACTGCAACAGGAGGGTGGCCAGTGTGGCTTTCCAGAGCAGCAAGCCTGTTCCTTGCTCTGAGGGGTCATCGGAACAAGCTGCGTTGACCCCTTCCTTGCCGTGGCACTTGCGGCTCACTGGAATGCTGGCTGGGTGGGCCAATTCCGCCCCTTGTGAATATTGCAGCAGGAAAAGGCTGACATGGGCAGATGGGTGGGTAGAGTTCTCTTTTTTAAAGAGTTTCTCTATGAATTGGGCATTTTTAGTCAGCAGAGAGGGTTTTGAATCAATTAATTGGTTAATGGTTCCAAACTAAACGGCATGGGTTGTATCTAGTGGTATCCATCTATTAGTAGAAGAGAGACAGCTCTCTGTGTATTTCCCAAAATCTGCCCTGCAGATTGGGAATCCCTCCAGTACAGATCTGAGATAGGTGTTGGGGAGGATGGGAGAGGAAAGGGAAGTTGCATTGCATGAATGGAAATGTAGTTGCATGTTACTGTATGTTTTCTTACTACATTTCTCTCAGTTGCCAGCTGAAACGAATGCTATTGTTTGGCTGTTGTTGTTACTGTTGTTGCAGTTGCTATTTCTGTACTGGCCAATAACTGAAGTTTTTTTAAAATTTCCAAAGTGCATTCAAACTCCTGAACTCCTGGATATCTGAGAACTGTATTTCTGCATGAATGATTTTCTTTGTGATACCTGTTTCACCGTAACACAGGGGTCTCAAACTCATCTTACCTGGGGGCCGCTGGAAGTAGAGTCTGGGTGAGGCTGGGCCGCATCAAGTATTCCACCACCGCGGTGGAGGTGGGCTGCTCATCCCGCGGCCGGCCCGGTGCTGCCGGCGCTTTGAAGGCCGCAGGGCCCCTCCCCCGTGCCCCGCCCGTCCCGGCAATTGGCCCGCAGGCCGCGAGTTTGAGACCCCTGCCGTAACATGGTTATTAAAAGAAAATTCTGGCTTTTTTCAGATGCCTTGAGTTGGAAGATACCACACATCTTTTCCTGGCTTCAAAAAGAAGGAAACCTGTCAGAAGAGGAAATGGCTCGAACATTTAATTGTGGGATTGGTGCAGTCTTAGTGGTGCAGAAGGACCTGGCTGGGCAGGTTCTGAAGGACATCCAGAGGCATGAAGAGGCATGGTTGATTGGAAAAGTTGTACATCATGAAGCAGGTCAGTATACTGCGCTTTAGCCTTCTGGGAATTTTGTATTGTAGTGATGGTGCCATACATGTAAGATAACAGTTTAGTAACTGCCAAATACAGCAGACAGCTATGCCCTGAAAGGTAGCAGATACCCTTGCTCTGAACCTTGCTTAAAGCATAAATGCATTTGAATTCTCTCTAAACATGCATAAATCTTCTTTTAAAAGGGTTAGATTAACATACATAATGATGTATTCAGGATAAACAGTAGAGCTATAGAAGCAGTTTGGCATGGCATAAGTTGCTTAGAACATGCCTTCCTCTCCTTCCTTGTAGTTTGAAATAGCAGGGGTCATCAGAGACAGATCTAAAATATCTTGACCTAGCGCAAGAGGTCAAAACTGAATGGTTCTTTGACTCCTTTCCAGTTATGTGAAATAAAACTGCTGTACATCCATATGTTTTAGATGTGCTATTGGATAAATGAGATAGTTGGAAATTTGGTAATTTGTTGTACACTCATGGTGCATTCTGAGCTATTACTATAATACTGTATGTTTGTAACTTATCTTTTTTTTCCTGAATTGAAGGGTCTGACCACGTTAAAATCAATAACTTGCTTCAAGCCTTACAAGCCAATAATTTACAGTCTTCTCACAAGCAACAGAGCAAAACCCAGCCAAGTAAAACAAGGGTGGCCGTCCTCATCTCTGGAACAGGTGATGTCCCTAGATTCGCTTTGCAAGAAATTAAAAGGGAACTTTGAGGCATGTTTTAGGATGACTAGTCATTTTATAGAGGACCTTAAAGCAAGATGGTTAAACACAGAAGAAAATATAGTTCCTGATTCTTTATTTATGAAATAATCATGATGGTACTTATAAGAACAGCTATGCTAAATCAGATCGAGCCCAGCAATCTCCTCTCACCATGGCCAACCAGATGCCTATGAGAAACTCGCAAGTAAAACCAAGTAGCACCCTGCTGCTTATACATCTGGTGCCAAGAACCATGCTGCCTTTGATAATAGAGGTAATACAGGCAGTCCCCAGGTTACGAATGTCATAACAGAACAAGCCCTTGTCTCCATTTTCCTTAACTATGGTCAATTTTCTGTTTAAATACCGATTGCACTTGCCAAAATACCGCACTTGCCAACGTACTGTCTTTGGCAAGCAAGTATCCAGGGGCACCATCATTTCAAGTGCAATTTTTTTGGGTCAAGAGTTTCTGGGGAAAGGTGAGAGAAAGGACATTGAAAAAGTGTTACTACATGGAAGAAATGCAGGGTAATATAACAGATTTTTAACAGCAGGGGGCAGGAGTTGGCAAATATTTGTGGTATCAGTAGTGTATAATCCCTACAGAACTCAAATGCAAAGCGTTAGAGAAAGGTAACTTGTTTAGAATTCCCATTGGGTGCACTTGGAGGAGGAGGATATTCTGGACTCACTGACTGATTTTTGGGATGTGTTGATTATGGAAAATGATTAACATTTCCTACATTTTAAGCATGGGAAAGAAAATGCTCAACCATTTGGTGTAAATGTTTGTAATATGTGGCAGCATTTTCTTTTGCCACCAAAGGCTGCAATCTACTCCCACTTGCCTGTGCACAAGCTCTTTTGAATTCCGGTTGGGGAAGGGACATTGATAGGGCTGGGATAATGCTTTTTTAGAATATAAATTTTATATTTAAAACAACACATATTGCTGTGGATGGATATACGCTCAAAGGCCACTTGGTTTTGTGTAACTAAATATGATGTAACTACTTTTTAAAAGCTTTTCAGAGCATTTAATTTTATGGTTTTATTGTTTGCATTCTTCAGGCACAAATCTGGAAGCTTTAATAAGCAGCACAAAAAAACCAACAAGCTCTGCACAAATTGTGCTTGTCATTTCAAACAAAGCTGGTGTTGAAGGGTTAAAAAGAGCTGAAAGAGCTGGCATCCCTACAAAAGTAAGTAAATGTTCAGCAGTTTCTCATATTTAACCTACTGTGTGAAATGAATGAGACACTAAAACCACATTCTTTTTAGGACTCCATTATTCTAAAGCAGCAGTCTTAAAACTTGATATACCTGAAATATCCTTCTCAGTGTGAAAAATCAGTGCAGAACCCGTTAATAAATACATTTCATGTATTATATTTTATTTGAACAAAATGTTGTTACAACAAGGCATTTCTTAACATGTAAACATAAAAAATCATAGGAGTAAACCCCTGGATGATTCTCACAGAAACCCTGCGTGATTCTTACGGTATTCAGGGAACAAGTTTGAACACCACAGTTCTAGGGAATATGGGCAATATAACCAGAAAACCCACATATCTAAACTTCTTTCTTTTAAAATGTATTTCTTACATGATATGCTTATAATACTCTTTAGCTGAGCTCAGCTGACATTTCACATCAAACTGTGTTTTAAGTAGTGTAATGATGCTTTGGCATGATGACTGAATTGACAGACCATAGTTTGCAATCAAATGGCAAACCTGGCTTACCGTCTGAAATAATAAAGCTTAGTTATGGCCATTAACTGATCATGTCTGGATCATTTTGAAAATTTTATAAGTTATTGGATAATTCAAAGATATAAGTACCAGAGCCGCAAGGGATTCAATGGGAATTAAGCTGTCTGTTCAGTCCATTACATACTTACCAAGGTAAATTAATTTTACGGTACAGATGGACCATTATAATTAGCCATGAATAAGAATAATAATATGTGAACTATTTGGGACAGGTTCAAGCAAAAGAATGTATTGTTAGGCCACTGCACAATCTGTTCAGCACAGGTAAGTGCCCCTCACTTTCTGGAGATGGATCCTTTGCTGTAGCTCAGACTCCCTGACCCAATTCTGTCTTCTGGCTCCTGCTGAACATTTTTCAAGACTGGAAGCCCACACTCTTTTTCTTTGTGACAATAGGAAGAAAGCCACTGTTTATCAACTGTACTGCTCAAGTGACTACCATTGTAGCAGGGTGGGATTTTCAGTGCTTTGCTTTGTCTGTTTGATGTTTTCAGCACTTCTTGTATTCTTAATAGAGGAAAGACTTGAATCAACTTTCCCAGATCTCTGCCTTCAGATGTATTAGTCTGTAACTCCTGCCCACTATTGATCATGATGGCTAGGGAAGGTGGTAATCCAACACATCTGGAAGAACCCATGTTGGAGAAAGCAGACTAAATGAACTGTATACACAGACTGATCTTCTATCCTGTCTTTGATGCCTTAGGTAATTGACCACAAACAGTACAGCAATCGTGTTGAGTTTGACAGTGCGATGGATAAAGTTCTTGAGGAGTTCTCCACTGAACTGATCTGCCTTGCAGGATTTATGAGGATCTTGTCTGGTCCTTTTGTCAGAAAGTGGAATGGTAAATACAACTGAACATACTGGACATAACTGGGAAAGCTGACATAATTAAACCATGTATTTGGCATATGAAGCAGTTTTGTAAGAGAGTCACTTTTAATGAGGCAAATTTAGTTTAATTTCCTAGTTTTAAAACAACTTCCCCATTTTGACATTTTGTTGTAAAAAGCGCTCACATGTTAGAGGGTTTACAGGCCCTTGCCACAAAGTGGGAGTCTTTATAGCCAAATTCTGGGGGGTTTTTTTCCAACCCAGAATCCATTTATCTCTTTTGGCTGCTGACAGCACTTCTGACAAAATATATGGGACAGAGCATATAATCAGAAATCTCACAAACAATGCAGACTTTGTAAGGCCAGGTCAGTGCCACTGGTAATGACCACTTCTTGGATGCTCTGTGTTGGGTGTTATGGCCCACACCTCACAACTCTGTGTGCAGGTGGACCCTTCTACCCCCCCCCCCCCCCTTTACCATTATTTATTTAATGAATTCTGCCTCAGAGAAGAAAGTTGTGGCATCTCCAGTTAAAAAAGAAAAGGAGAGAGAGAGACACCTCTGCCTGCTAAAATAGGCTGTGCTGGGCTAGATGGACAAATAGTCTGGGCTAATGTAAAGTAGTTTTTAATGTTCAAAGAGGGAAAAAAACCCCGCAAAATCCTATTGTACTAGAGCCTAACCAGCTCTTTGGATCCCAACCTGGATATCCAATTATGCACTGCTAATGTGATGAATGAATACTGATGGCATGGTGGTGACACAGGTAATATTTTGACACCTCATTGCCACTGAACTTACTTTTTTTTAAAAACGATGAAAGAGTGCTCTTTGAAATTGGTTCAGATGTAACACTAGACCATGTCTTAACCTGTGGAGTCCAAATTATGACGTGCAGAAAATATGACATGAAGTTTCCCAAACAATGAATTCTGAGGGTGGAGAAATGTCCCGAATCAGAATCTGTCCATTCAGGAGTAACATCAAAATGCAATTTACCGACCAGATTCAAACTGTGAACCCCGATTAGGTGACTACCACTTGCCAACATGATTTGTCTGACACTGTTATTTTAGGCCTTGTCATATGTCATGACAAGCAAGACCACATGGTTTCCATGGTGTGTGGTTGTTAGCCTAGATCTGCCTGACAAACTATTAAGTAGTGTCTCTGCTAACATGGTTTTTGCCTTTCTCACCCAGTTGTTCTGCTATTGATACATATCCCATACATAGCCTGAAGTTCAATCCTGGGTTCACGCTGGATTGCTGGAGCAACTACTGTTCTTTCCAGGAAATTCACCTGGTATGTGGTAGCTCCGTACCAGAACCATGGAAACCATGCTGTTGTGTTTGGATGACAAAAGAAACCATGGAAACCAAAAAATAGATCACTACTTCTAGTCAGGGTTTCTAAGAACCAAAGATACCACACTGAAATAACATAACAGACTAACATGCACAAGAAACCACTATGGCTTGTTGTGCTGTGTGAACCCACCCACTGTTTCAAACCTATTTGACTACCATTTATTCATGCAAGCAGTTGAACAGAAAATTATGCCCAGTTTGAATCCAAATTTTACATTCTTAAAGTACAGCTGTTGAAATCAGTGGAACTTAAGTTAGACCAATCAATTTCAGGGATCTGCCTGAAATCTAGATTAACTTTCTCTTTTAATTGCAACATTGATTTCTTAGTTAGGCTTTGTAAAATTAAGGAAGAGAACTGAAATAACTAAAAACAAGTTCTTCCATTTTTTCCTCTCTCTGTCTAGGAAAAATTTTGAATATCCACCCTTCCTTGCTGCCTTCATTTAAAGGAGCAAATGCCCATAGACTGGTACTGGAGGCTGGAGTCCAAGTCACTGGGTGCACTGTGCATTTTGTTGCTGTATGTAATGAGTTTCATTGGAAGTGATCAACAGATGGTGAATCAACCCACAGTAAATGAAGAGGGAAAAAGTATACCTAGCCAGTAATCTAGACACATAGTGTAGCAACTGGACATTATCAGTGTAGCCTAATGTCAGCCATACCTCTACACTCTAAAAGATGTATGCAGGGATGGAGAACTTGTGGATCAACTGTAAATACAACTGTATTGTTGTCAGCCACACGGGGGGTGGGGTGCAATCATGGGCTATGGTAGCAGCATATAAATTGAAACAGACTCCAGTAACCCATGACCATTGGCCGTACTGGTTGGGGCCAATATGAGAGGAAATCCAACAACATTTGGAGTGCTACAAATTCCTCACCCTTGGCTTATGTGAATTCATCCTGTTGCCAGTAGTAGCCAGGCCAAAGTCCACATGAGAAAGATGTGCTCCTGGGAGTCACTGGGAATGCTTCACTAACTTGGCCGTGTAAAAACAATTGTGAAATGTATTAGTACTGGTCTGGTTTTTACAGTGATGCGGGCTTATAGTTTTCTCTGGTCATCTGTTCTACAGCCAATTTGATTGCATAGCATTCAGACTGCATATTTCTCTTTTTAAATGTTCCATTTGGAATTAAACTAGCCAGTCTTGATGTATATTGTACCATTGGAGATAACTTTAAGGTGGAAAGGGTGTGATGAAAAACTATGAAAGAAGCAAACATTATGTAGCAGAGCTCCTCTCCTTTACTGTCTCCTTCCATCTTGCCAAAGATTTTTTTAATCTTTCTTTTCCAGGAAGAAGTTGATGCTGGAGCAATTATTTTTCAAGAGGCAGTTCCAGTGAAGCCTGGAGACACAGAGAAAACCTTGTCAGAGAGAGTGAAAGAAGCAGAGCACAGAGCCTTCCCAGCTGCATTGCAGCTAGTAGCGAGTGGCGAAGTACATTTGGGAGGGGATGGGAAGTTATGCTGGAATTCAGAAAAACACTACTGAAGTGCAGAGGAAGAAATATCATGCATATTTTTGTTTTTCATTGTGTAGCACACAATAGCAAGGTTTTAAAGTCTTAATCAAGCCAAGATCAGGAAGCTAAATTGGGAAGGGAATTAACTGGCTGTCTCTAATATGTTTGCCATGCTCTGGTGCCTTAAAATAGAACCCTGTAGGCACTGGTCCATAGGACAAGGCATTTGTGTAATCAACGCAGGTTCACCCACTGTCTTATGAGGAGTTCATCATTAAGGTGCACTAAAACGATAAACACCTACATGGAGAATTACTCCACCCAAATAGCTTGCCATGTGACCTGCACAGTACATGGCCTAAGATTCTGCTTCAACGGGTCAGCCATTTGGCAGAGTCCAGACTTAAATTGGGCCTCAGCCCAATTTACTCAGCACCTTAACAGCCTAACTGTACTGCCAGAAAAGGTAACAGAATAAGAATATGAATTAAGCATTTAATAGCATCCTCTCATAAGGTTTTTCTGCTCAGACATAAAAAGTAATTCAGAATAATTGAACTATTGATTCGGAATTGATCCCGTTATTTAGATGGGTGAGGAAGGGCTCTGCATGCAGAAGGTCCCTTTGCCTAATTTTTATGATTCCCTTACCCACCCCACCACTCACCCCATTCAGTAGGTTCTCCTGACTTCATTTTCAGGCAGCTGGGAAGGTTCCATGGAAAGCAAAGGGTGTGGGAGCCCACTTCTGCCCGCACAGCTAAACCAGGCTTTAAGGCTATGTAATTCAGAATCAAGTTTAGTCATTGACATTGCCATAATATAGGTGGTAAATGTTCTGTTGCATGGAGATCCACTATTTAATTCTTCAAAGAAACGTGGCAGTATCACTGAATGCCAGCTGCCCTTAGATTATCACCTGCACAAGATCTAGTCTCCCCACCCTTTTTAAACCTATTATACTGTGAAACATATTTGAATGGTCCATTGAAACTTAGCTTATAACATTACAGAGATACATGCTAACTTTTAAAAAGATTTTTGTATCATGGCTAGTAAACACAATGGAGGCATATTGTAATTCATCTACTGTAATTCTTGTTTGAAAGGAAAAAAAAGAATTAGGTAGTTATCAGAAGTGTCTTTCATAAAACATTTCACAAATGTCACTTCAAGGAAATACATGTGTATTTCCACTGTGTTGTGTTTTTGCAATAAGTTACAAAACTAATCAGTGTTCAAACAAGGATCCATGGAACTAGGACTGCAATCATAATACTGTTCCATTCTTGCCACTTGTTTTATATCCATATGTTTGATGACCTCATACCTCATCCTAATAAAATTTTTAATGTCAGAAATGAGAAAGTGTAAAATTGTTTATTCCTGAATAATAGTTAATCAAGTTCTCTATCTTTGCAGTAGCTGGAGAAGGCTTGCAAATATTTGTTAGTTTCTAGGAGAGATCAGGTATCCAGAGAGACTTTCTGGTAGAAAGAGTTTATTTTTAAAAACATGTGCAATTGTGCACATGTAATGGGAGCTTAAGGGATGCAGGTAGCTCAGTGGTTTAAACTACTGTGCTGGTTGATCAAAAGGTCGCCAGTTTGAATCTACACAATGGGGTGAGTTCCTATTGCTCTGTACCAGCTCTTGCCAACCTCGAAAGCATGCAAATGCAAGTCGATAAAAAGGGACCACTTTGGTGGGAAGGTAACAGCGTTCCATGCACCTTGGTGTTTAGTCATGCTGGCCACATGACCATGGAGACTGTCTGCAGACAGATGCTGGCTCCCTCGGCTAGGAAACAGAGATGAGCACCTCCCCCTAGAGTCAGGCATGACTGGACGTAACATCAAGGAGAAACCTTTACCTTTTACTGGGAGCTTAAAACAATAGTGTTCTGCTTCAGGCCAAAAAAAAAAAAAAATGACAAGCTCATCCAGAGTATCTGGGTTTTTGCCAGAATAGTTACATGTTGTTAGCATGAAATACGTTGTATGAACACTAGAAAAGTTAATCCTGGTTAGGTAGAACTCAATAGAGAGAGCAACTTTGCACCCATTTTCTTTTGCTAATACACTGCTACTTCATCCAAATTATGTCAGTCAGTCCTGGAAGGGAAAGATGTACAGTATGCATGCACGGCAGCAACACCTTGCAAAAACATTCTGATGGCCTAATTTAATCCAGGTAATGGAAAAATGCAAGCCACATTTTCTTTCCTATGTGCCACCTTAGATTATCTTAAATTTGATTGTAGTGCATTCTGAGAATAGAGCTAAGGGTTATTCAACATGAATTTGTTGAATAGAATACAGGAAATATAGGAGGACAAAAGCTAAATTCTGGAAGTGTATGAAAATAATAAATTGGGGGACATTCTTTGTATGCACAAAGTAGATTGTCTAGAACAGGCAGAAGTCAGTTATCCAAAAAGTGAGATGCAGAGGCAATGAGATACATTCAGACTACTGAAGCTTTATTTAATTCCTACTTTTAGTCCTTTTGTCAATAAACATAGTCCAAAACACTTCGATCTTGCAACACAAGCCTGTTAATGTATATTCAGAAGTATATTAGACACAGAATAGAATTCTATGTGGCTTCTCCCAACTAACCGGACAATGGGTTGCAGTCTTGAATACATCAATGAAAAATGTAACTAGCAACTTAACCAGGCATCTGTTTATTTCCAAAACCGGGTATTGCATTTCTGTGAAGTTACAATACTACACCTAAATTATTTAATATGATGGCATATCACTTTAAGATAAAAACGGAGCATAAATATGATTTCTCCAGGAACAAGCTCTGAAACAACTGAGCAACTCTGCATCTGTGTCATTTGAAGTGTCACTTCAAAGCTTGTGATCCAAAGTTAGTGAAAAAGATTTGATCATAGATCTTAGAAGTCAAATGCAAAGTGAATCTAAATCCCACATTTCGGTTAGTAGCCTGGCACATCCTTGCATACTCCTCATCCTTGCATATATCCGCTTTTCTCAGCAGGCCATTAAGACAGATCAACCCTTCTCTGTCAGAACAGAGTCACAGCTGCAGAACATATTGGTGCGTTCTACTTATTTATTTATTTAAAACTATACTATTATGCAATGGCTGAGGGCACATTCTGTGTATATGGGTCATCAAGAGTTGTCGATCATTATTTTTATCAAAGCTTATAGCAGGAAGCCTGCTTACAAGGAGTTAAGATTGACTACAACAGGGCCCAATGCTACATGGGAGAGCAGCGTCTTCATATCTGATATTGCACATATTCAGTGACATGGAGGACACACAAGAGATTGGGTGATAACACGTACTCATAGCCAAGTAACTGAACAATGGATCATGAAACATCAAATAGCTCTTCATCACGTCTATTTCCTTGTCTCCGCTCCTTTTTATTAAAGTTTTGTTTCTGGATAAGTCAGTTATGCCAGTCTTCATGCAGGTGGTCAGGGCCCTCCCCAAGCTGTTCTAACAACCTGAGGTCATACCAGAGGTATGGCCAACAAAGGGGCAGACTGGAAACTGGGGAACTGGTGTCACCCAGCTCAGGGTGAGTATTGCCCCTGGTCCACCCAGTGGGCACAATTCCACTGATGCCTCAACTCATCATCCATTCCCGCTTGCTCTGCCTGGGGCAATATGGGCCACACGGCCTTTGCGATAGCACAGGCTGTGAATCCCTCTGAGGTTTGCGCTAGACCTGCAGAGACCATGCAGAACAAGCTATAGTATGCAGAGTGGGAGGGGGAACGTATGGCTGCTATCGTCCCTTTAATATGCATGCAGCTTTTCCACATAGATGTGACCAAAGCGGCTCACACCACCAGAAAGGTTATATAAGAACCGGAATAAGCATCAGGAAATTATTACAACGAACAGTCTAATAGCAATTCATTTCCAAAGATAATACAGTAAATCAGACTATTCAATTTAATTATATCAGCATCCTCATGTTTCAGATAAATTATAAACCAGACAGAGGTTGGATCCAGCCTTATTCAGGATCAGTGGAATCAGTGAGGCAAAACTGAGTCATGAGTAATATAGGGTGCAATTCAAGATTAGATGGGGAAAAGCTTACAATTCCCAGCATTCTGGGATACACAGGCTTAGTTTGACACGTAGACAGGACTGCACGTTTAAGTACCATTAACTTCAAATATATTAGCATTTATTTTTTAAACTCTCATCTAGGTTTTAGGGGAAATTCTCCAAAGCAGCATACAAAATTAAAATAATAAGACACAATAAAACACTAAGAATAAAATATTAAAACAATAGACTAAGGGCACAGTTCATGAGGCCCCAAACTCAGAAACTTGTGAACATCAAATGTGAGACTCGGGAGCAGCTACCTCTGCCATGATGGTGCCTCACAACCTATGTTTTCTCTAGGCAGCCGTTTTCAGCTATCTTGTTTAGGGCCAACAAGGGGGAGGGAAGGATGTTGTGGTGCCCATTAAAACTGGTGCAACTTCACAGCTCCAACTTCCTTGCTGCCCTTTCCAGCTGCCATGACCCCTTTCCCCCTCCAAGGCCCAGCTGCAATCTTAGCAGGAGGCAACTACTGTGGTTCTTTCTCATGCCAGCTGTGAGTGGGTGGAGTGGGGATGGCAGTGGCTTGGACTCTGGAAAATCGTACAGTCTCCCATACAAAGTCAGAAGGTCGTATGATTGCACCCTAAACCAGTAAACCATGTTAAGCCTGGAAGCAGCTGAGTGGCAAAAATAATACAGTATCAATAATTCTTCAAATACATACTCCAGCATCAGAGAATACTTCCAGATGAGGCCTATGTACGTACCTCTTCTATGAAATTTTGCAGACAGTCCAAATTTTACAGTTTTCAAATAGAAGCCCTTCCCTGTTTATTCTCTAGGACTTTTTTTCCCTTAGCAGCAAAAAGCAGCAAAATACTTTTGATTGTTAATACTAGCAGCCCTCCATGAGAAGGCACACAGTTTGGGTACCCTAACATCTTCATTTTAGCTTCTCTAAAGCTAATTGTGGGTGATATATTGTATCCATGGACCATACTTCCCTTAATCTAAGGAACTAATGTTGGTTCCAATAGGCCATATTTTTGTAAGCAAAATGAATGGCTATAATTACATATTACAATGATTAAATTTAGGTACTTGAAGAAAATGAGACAGACAGATCAAAACTGGAGCAAAGTGCAACCTTCGCTATTGTTACTTTCACATGTAATGTTAATTACAGTAGTACAGGTGAATTTATAAAGAGGAACATTCCTGCCTTTCCTTCTGATGCATCAGTGTCTCCCTTTCTCGTTTCCAGTAGGTTTTACCATCTGCTCCAAGGTGCACCATCCCACTGGCAACCAGCTGCAGGGCCAGGGGAAACGCTCGCCTCTCTGCTTCTTTGACTTTTTCAGACAAGGCCTCCTCTGTGTCTTCTGCTTTTACGGAGGCAGGCTCTTGCAAGATCACTGCTTCAGGACTAGTATCCTCCTGAAAGAAAGTTGGGGAGAGAGAACCGTGATCCAGAAAGGGAGAGTGATCATGGGAGCAGTAGCAGAGAAACAGATAGAGCAGTGTCACTGAAATGCAGCCCAGAAAGAACAGAGAGCAGGGACCTCAGTTACCAGACAAGGAGCAGTTGAATGTTCAGAAAGATGCAAGACAAAGGACCTATCTTGGAGGTAATAGGCATGTTTAGAAAAGGGACAGAAGAAAGCAGGGGCCTACAGCAGCTTGGCAAGACAGGAAGTGGTGGGTGGAGGTTCTTACTCAAGAAGGGAGTCAAGACAGCTTTCCTGTGCCTGAATACTAGAGTGTAAGCCACTCTGAATTCAGTGGGCTTACTTCTGATAAAGTCATCCACACTATTGTGTTCCTGTTCACCATGGCTATGTGTGAAAGTTGGACAGTGAAGAAATCTGACAGGAAGTAAATTGATATGTTCTAGACATGATGCTGGCAGAGAGCTTTGTGAATGGACTGACAGAAGGATCATCAAGTGGGATCTTAATCAAATTAAGCTGAACTTGCCTTGGAAGCAATCATGACAAAACTGAGGCTGTCGGAATCAGGGCACAGACTCACTGGGGAAGACAAACTAGGGAAAGTTGAAAAGGAAGACCATATAAACGAAGCCACATAAAGAGAGCCACAGCTTTACACTAATAAGAGCTGGACGGGTGGGACATGTTTTGGAGCATTCATGAGGTCATCGTAAGTCAGAAACAGCTCTGATATGACAGCTTGCATCAACACTGCGAGCCATCATGGTGGTTAGAGTATTCAACAGGGATCCAGGAGATCTGGGTTCTAATCCACACTCAGCTATGAAGCTCACTGGTGCCTTTTGGCCAGGCACAGACTCTAAGTCCAGCCTACCTCACAGGGTTGTTGTTGTGAAGATAAGATTGAGAGGAGGATAATTATATAAATGGCCTTGAGTTCCTTTACATGAACAAGGTGGGATATAAATATAATTATAAATTAAAATTTAAAAATCAAGCCTGAGAACATGGGCTGTCATGTTTCATATCCATGTAGGTTGCTCTGAAAGCTTTTCTAGTTGAAGGATGGATATTAGTGGTATAAATAAAATACACACATAATACTGTTACAAAATTAAAACACTACAAGAGACTGATGATGATCATATGTTGGAAAATAGTATCATCAGGAACTGGGAGGTCTTTGAGACTTCGGTGAGATGGTTACTTTGCATAAAGTGAGTTACGCAACTGCAATATTGCATACTCCCAAATTCTGTTAAAGAATCTGTGAAGCCCTGACAATTGTAAATGCTCTAATGAGTAGAGTTACTCCAATGAGGCATGTTGCCTGCCAGAGGAATTCTAACTTGGAGATGTGCAAGAAATACACAAGAAAAATACTCACCAGTACAAAATGCACCGTGCAGCCAGCAACACTGTCAGTAGAAAGTGTCTGCTTCTGGGCATCTCGTCCTTTAGTTAACAGTGACAGCGATGGATAAGTACTCAGAATTTTTCCTGTAATTATTAAATCCCAATTCAGAATTATCAAAATGCATGGGCATACAAGAAGTACTCCATGCCCCTATTTTACTGGGACATCCATTTCTAGTGTTTCAAACAGAACAAAAACATAAACTCACCAAGTACTTTGCAATTTTTCTTTTTACATTTTGTATTTCATGGGTATTTTTTTCACACACTAAATACAGAAACATGATCGAATGAACTTAGTTTAAGGTACATGAAGAAACTGGACAGACTGGATGTAGAGTGAGGAGTACACCCTTATTTCTGAGTATTTATTACGGTAATAGTTTTGGTCTTAATTGCTTACCATTCCATTTTCTAAGGAAGTTACTAGTCAAAACTCTCCTAAATCCTGCCAAACAAATCAGCTCCACAGAAAATTCCTCAAGGACGCTGTCAATTGTGCCATCATATTCTGATCGGCTTCCATACAGTTTATGGTCAATTACCTGAAAAAATTAAGGTAGAAGTCTAGAGTGGGCACCCCTCCAAATATCCCACCCTTAAACAGATAAACAAGGATGTTTATTGGGGAACACTTAAGTTAACACAGTTCTGCTGGCACTGTATTTCTATATTTCAGCTTTTAGGGTATATGGAGCAATTTCATCATTTAGAGATTAGACATTTGGAAGCCATAGGAATCTACAGCTTCTATCAAAGAGTTTGTGGGGCTGCAGGCACTTCTCTGTTCAGAGCATATAGAGACACACTGCACTGCCTTCCCAGTTTCTGCAATATATGAGGCTGTCCTCCATACATAATGATGGCTATTTAGTATATAATTAGGATTCCTTTCTCTTAGAATGTTCAGGTATAACTCTGCTATAGGTGTATACTAAGCACATCTGGTATTAGAGTAGAGCAACAATGCTCCCGACAGTACTGGCAGTCACTGAAGAACCTTGCTTGTGTGCACACACACCAGAACTACTTCCCCGGGGTGTGATTCTATATTGATGGTGAGAACTTGTGACTATGACAATATAATGGGTATGGCCAACTGAGTGAGTCTTCACCACCTGAGTGACTTCCAGTAGAAAGGACCAGTGGTGGCTCCAGTTTTTTTGGGCAAGATGCTCTCCCGGGGTCTAAATGTAACACTACCTAAAGAGAAAAGGGCCAGGTGACTGGTGAATGCCACTTCTTCCCTTTCATCAGACCAGGAGGGAAAGGAGCAGGTCTAAGAAGCTCCAAGGGTTGGAGGAAGTATGCCCACTACCAGAATGTGAGCCTCAGCAAATCCCTTGTGATGCCCACCCACATTCTCATCCTAGCCCTCATGACTAAAATATTCCTCTATGCTCCCAGCAATGTGGCATCATCTGGTGGAACAGTGATTCTCATGCAAGTGTGCATTTGTGCATATGTATGAGAGAGAGAGAGAGAGAGAGAGAGAGAGAGAGAGAGAGAGAGAGAGAGCGAGCGCGAGCGGTGGGCACAGCTATGCTGCTAACAGTGGTAGCACTACTCATAAATAGGGCAATAGTAGATACCTTCATCTGGAATTCACACATCAGGGACCCCTAAAATACAGCCAATGGGAGTTAACGCTTCTGTTAACACAGTTTCCATTAAGTTAATTAAATAACAGGTGTCTATTTCTTCCTGCAGGCAGAGCACATAAGGTGGCTAATGTAAAAAAAATGTGAAAGCATATCATAAAATCAGCAATGCAGTAATATAAAAAGTAGGCAAAAACAATAAACTCAACAAAAGCAATAAAAACAAAAAATTAACCTAGAGTTAGTCCAGCCAAAGCTTGCTTAAGCAAAAACATTCCCACTTGCTGGCAGAGGTGAGGGAACAGATGGAGCTGAGTGCTATATTTTGTAGGCACCAATAGAAAAGGCCCTCTTCTCATGTGCCCTTACTGGTTACAGCTCAGAAGATGCTGGGATGTGCAAAACAGCAGTTGCTCACCTTAGTGGTTGCAGTTTCATGCTGGGGGACATAGATCTTTACATATTGATGTGTCTGTTTGTTTCAAATATGCATCTCCTGCCTTTTTTTTTTTTTTTTGGTATAGTATAACTTGCCTTGAAGATGTTTATGATCTATTGTTCTGCTACTAAATACACTGAGACAAATATGCTGGAGTAAGTGCTATGCCCATTTCTGCTTCTTGCAAAGTTAAAAACATGCCCATTCCCTAGGATTTAAGCACTGTGAAACTGGAACCCTTTCCATCTTGCAACAGATTGCTTCTTTATCCGAACTGGAAGAAACCCAGCAGAACAGGCCCCAGTTGGCTTTTGAATTAACTAGCTGGCACCACTACCTCATGGTTCATTATCATCCAAACATGAGGCCAGGTGTAGCATTATCAATGCAAAGGGCAGGAAAGTATTCTAGGTGAAGCTGATTCCCAGTATCACAAAATGGGTGCTGCTCTTTTCTTAGTTTTTAATGTGAAATTAACAGAATGTCCTTCTTACTCTGGTGGGGATACCAGCCAGGGTTGTATTCTTCAGTTCTTCTACCCCAGACCTGTTGGCGATCACAACAACTATTTGTGCACAGCTTGCTGGCTCCTTGGCGTAAGTGAGAAGTGCTGCAAGGCTCGTACCTCAAATTGGAAGAGTAAACACAGACAGTCTCTATTATACCCGGGAAACATGTGTCCAAAGGTACAGAAGATGACATAGATTTCCTTGAACAAAACAAACACATGTTCTTGTCAACCTCTCTCTCTCTCTCTCTCTCTCTCTCTCTCTCTCTCTCTCTCTGTATCTGCTGAAATTTCAGCTCCTCAGCTACAGAATTACTAAGAATTTAAGAATTTAAGAACTGGATTTAAAGAAAGCTTGGATGAATTTAACCGTAATGCTGTCTACATGACAGCAGTAACAATTGGATTGTACTTTTGGAGCCGAAAAGGCTTGCTCTGATATTCAGACTGAAACCTTTATATTTCACTCAGTTTGTTATACACAATCTTTGTATTATCTAACAAACTAAAAGTAACAATAGTATCTTAAAAATGAAAAGAACTGTTTACGGAAAATTAAAAGCTGCCTGATTTTAACCATCTGCTTCTAATTTTTTCCTTATCCTCCAAAACACGTTCTTAACATTACACCCCTATCTACATCAACTTGACTTGCCTGTTAAGGCTAAGATTTAGGGATGAACTTGGATGCATGCTTTCCCCCTTTTTAGGAGCCAGGGTTGATATTTCATTGATGCTGTCTTCTGTGGAGAGCCCAGAAGACTAAAGCTTGTCCATTTTCCTAACATATGCAAGAGAAATCCCATCATGACATCTTACCAATTTGTCTTGCTTCAAAGTTCTATCCTTAAAATGTAAGGATGCTTCATAGGCATGTCAACTAAATGGAGCCGAGAGTATGTTAATAGGAATACTAAAGAAGAATTCAGAACGAAATTCAAACAACCTGTTATGAGATTTGGGCAATGGAAATTGAACACAAACATAAGCAGTAAAGGATTATTTGAATATTCACATCAATCATGTCTGTCACTAGTCAAAGGCAATTAGACATAGGTTAAGTATACACATACCAAATGAAAGCCTCATCAAACTGACATGACAAAATTAGTAATTTCCATTGCACAAATGAGCTTATATGGTTGTAAAACTGCAAGATCACCTGTTCCTGAGATAAGAACAGCTACTTTTGCTTTGCTTTTCCTGGTTTGGGGTTGACCATCTTCATTGGGAACACTCTTCAGAAATAGGTATTGGTTTTGTAGTAACACTTCAGAAAGATTCTTGATTTCTACACGAGGATATCCTGGAGAAAGGAAAGATGGTTGCCTGAACATGTTTAAAATGCAGTAGCTAAAACTATTTAAATTTAAAAATCAGCTATTCTATTGATGGGATAGCTTTTCTTAATGTCAAACATCTAGTGAAAACTTCTTAGCACTTTCTCCTTATTAAGTTAGGCATATTCATGACCCATTTAAGTCCCATTCATTTCAATAGGCCAACTCAAAGTATAACTAAAGCTTAATTCAACTCACTGAAGATCACACCCTGTAACTTCCTTTTATTTCATCAAGAAAAGCAACAATTTAACATGCCATCCTCTGCCTTCAGTCAGTCATTCCCAGGTCCCTCTGAACTTAGTACCAGGAACTTAGTCCCAGTTCCTATTAAACTCAGTGCAGCTGAGCAGATGCAGGCATTCATATGCATCATTCCAAATGATTACAAAGCATTTCTATTTTTTACATGTGGATAATGTGAAATGAGAGGTAACGCTCTCACATGAACAGTGCATGTTAACAACCACCTGGAGTTTTGGATCTCATGTATATATGTGCATTGGTGCTATTCCAGCTACAGCATGAAGATTACTAATAGCGGCCAGAGATAAACATGGTTTACACCTTCCTCACCCTCTCCTTGCATCATGACTATGAAAGCCAAATTTACGCTTGAATTCCCTGTCACAATCAAGTTGTGCCACATCTGCCCTAGAAGGCCAGGGACAACTTTCTAAACACTGAAGATTTTCCTGGATGATGATAATTATTCTGGAGAATGCAGTCGTTAAATTGTGATAGGTTTCACCCAAACTTCAAAAATATAATGACACTTCTGCAGAAAGAGATTTAAGCCAATTTAAAGTATTTCAAGACTTTTACTGAGCTTGGTAAGAAAATGATGCCTCCTTAGGAAATACTGTAACCTGAAATATGTTGGATGACTTTCCCAATCAGCCATGCATCATCATATCTCTGGACCTCCTTCAAGACTTGCTCAGCAAGCTCCTTCTGAACCACCAGGGCAGCTCCAATTCCACAGTTAAACATTTGACTCATCTCCTCTTCTGAGAGATTTCCTTCTTCTTGGAGCCAAGAAAAGATTGAAGGAATTGTCCAATTGTGGGCATCTAAAAACAACTGAATTTGTCAGGAACAGAACCATTCTTGCACAGCCAATGTAGTTACAGACTTTATTCTGTTTCTGTTAAATCCGTGGCACAAATTCCTCTTTCCAGCCTCAAATCTCATTGGCAAAATTTCAGATTATACTAAATCACACAGCAATTATCTGTGAGATAACAGAATATGTGAGGGAGAAGAGGAAGGTCCTCTCCAAAGGGATATTCTAGTCTTTCCCATCAAACCCTGGGACTAGGTTGTGAAAGTGAGCAGTCTTCTCTAGGAACAGGTTGATTTGTTTGGTTACTTTAAATGTATTTGCTAGAATGACTGCTGCCAGTAACAGCTGAGGGAGAAAGAACCTTCATGACAAAGGGTGATGTAAAGTATCAACTGGCTCCAGATCACAGCTAAAGCAACACTTCAGTCTTTCTTGCTTGGCAGAAAATGTTGGCTCTAGATTGTCCTAAATCTAAATCCCATAGTGAGTTTTCCATGTTCCTGGTGCTTGGGCCCCAATCTGCCATTGCTGGCCTGAATGTTCCTATCAGCTCCAGTTCAGAAGAGGATAGCTAGATTCCAGCAAGGGAGACCACAGTGCAATTACTCTCCTGAGGATCTCTCTGCCAAAGGACAAGATGAAAATATTCCCTTTCTTTCCATCTGGGCACACCAGGCCTAAAGACTTTTAGATGTTTACATGAAAACTGAAAATGTTAGTTTCAAAATACCATTAGTGTTGTCAACCTAAGGCCAAAACAAACCCCAGTTTATGGTGTAGTGTATATTTTCAACAATATATCATTTCTTTTTTCTACTCACCCAAAACTACACTAAGCTGTTCAGGAAGGATATGGAGAAAACTTCCAAGCAATGCTCTTTCAGCTATATGAATGTAGGCTTTTACATTTCCTGAACGAAGTACAGGTAGCAGGGCTTTGCTATAGATTTTAGATGGGATTAGCAACTGTTCTCCTGTGAATGTGTAAGGAAAGTAATGTTAAACAGAAGATAAGAACATATGTATGTGCCCAAATATATGTGTATGTATACATAAACACACATGCATATGCAAGGAGCCTATTACTCTTCCCCCACTATTTCTTTCTGGGGCAGAAGTGTAAAGTTATGCATGCAGGGGCAACAAATCCCAACTTCAAGTATAAGCTGGTGGAATCTGAGCTAGTGTCAAAAAGACGAAGAAAGGAATCTTGGCAGACAGCTCAGTGAAAACGGTGACACAGTGTGCGGCTGCTGCAACACAGGTAAACTCCATATGAGGCACAAGTAGGAAGGATTTCAAAATAGAACTGCCAATATCATAGTGCCCTTCTACAAATCTATGGTGCAACTGCACTTAAAATACTGCTTACTGTTCTGGTTGCCATGCCTGAAAAAGGTTATTCTATAGTTGGGAAAAGTATAGAAAAGGGCAACTAAAACGATCAAGGGACTGAAGCAGCTCACCTATGAGGAAATGCTACAACAGCTGAGGTTGCTTAGCTTAGAAAGAAGATAAGACATGGTACAGGTGTACAAAATAATACACCGTATGGGCAAAGTGAAGAAACAGAGATTTTTCTCCTAGTCTCGTAGCACTATAGAGTCATCTCATGAAGCTGATGGGAGATAAAATGAATAACTTCAAACTACAGTGCACCAGGTGCAGGCTAGACACAAGGAAGAACCTCCTAACTGCCAGAGCATTATGACAGTGGAACCAGTTGCCAAGAGAGGTTGTGTGCTCTTCCATGCTGAAGACATTCAAGAAGAAGCTAGACAGTTTGGATGATGTAACTGGTGTCCTGCACCAGCAGCGGTTTGGACCCAATGGCCTTCTTGGCCCCTTCTGGCCTTACTACTCTATGATTCTATGATTCTCTATGGTAGCCCGTGGACAGCCAGCTGGCCATGCTGTGAACCTAGTACTGGATCCAGCATGTTTTGTTTTGTTTTGTTTTTTGTATGGTCTTAAGCAAAAGGAAGACCTTCACTAAGCAAGCCTGAAGGCGCAATAAAGCAGGGGTGGCAGCTTCAGATGGTCTTACAAATCCCATAATCGTGCCTGAAGCCACACGTTCCCCACCTCTGTAAAACAGCAAAAAAAAAAAAAAAAAAAAAAAAAGCAGGCAGCTATATACTACACTATTTTTAATTTGCTGATAGCTGTGTTGAATTTCTTTCCAAGCCATGTTCAGAGTAAGAATTTGGTAGATACCGATATACCTAAAGTAGGGTGATCACATCCAACAGGAACCTGAGAGAAATAGTGTAAGGATGATGTTAAAAGAATCTTCCTCACAAGGCCAAATCCTTGGTTGTGGAGGCCTGAGGAAGCTATTCCAATTAGGATATCCCCGCTGGCAATCCTCTCCTGCTGAGGAAACTTCATTCCTCGTTCTACAGCACCAACTGCAAAGCCAACAAGACTGCATTCTTCAGGGAAACATGAGTCAGGCATTTCATCAGTATCTCTTCCTAGGAAAGAAGGAGAAACCACCAAGGATAGATAAGCCAGTTCCAAGCAACTTGCTTTCCCTAGAAATATGCTTAAAATAGAGATAAGATAAATAGAGATAAGAAGCATTCTTAATGCAATTAGAAGCAGAGATTCCCAGTGTCTGATTTAATGGGAAGAAGAATGTTCATGAAGGTCATCAAAAGCACAGAATGGAAATGATGCTGCCACAATATGCACACAGAAGCCAGATGCACCATGAAGTCACCTCTCTTTCTTCCTCTCTCCCTCTCTCTCTCTCTCTCTCTCCCTCTCTCTCTCTCTCTCTCTCTCACACCAGGTTTCCACTGTTGTGCTGCACTATGTTAAACCAGGAATGAAGCAGGCATTTTTTCCATCCCCTCCACCATTGTTTATCTGATGTCATTAATTTCCACAAGTGTAGGAGGCCAGTTTAAAGCACTGTAAGTTGTCCTACCATCAATAAAATTTATAGCTGCTAGGTTACAAGGAAGAGGTTTCAAAAAAATTCAGAAAAAGTAAGTTGTGATACCAAGGAAAATACATCCTGCTAGTTCACAAGCTTCAGCTATCCCATCTCTGACTGCTTGAGCAACTCCAGCATCCAGATTTCCACATACAAAATGGTCGAGGAAGAAGAGGGGCTTGGCTCCCTGAAACAAGAGGTCATTGACACACATGGCGACCAGGTCCTGACCAATCATATCATGCTTACTGCACAGCTGGGCAATCTGCAATAAACAAATAAGTTAGTCTAGAATTTTAATACATATGTATTGCTTTTGTATAACAGTCTATTTTGGAGCCTTGATGGAGCCAGAACTTCATTGGGAATTGTTTTTTTTTTTTTTCTGCCAACAGAAGATGCCCTACAGTAGAATGGGGAAAAGATCATTCCTGGTCTATTATGTAGCCACACCCACTGTTCAAAATCTTCTCTGGTGGGCCCTTTAGAGCACATATGAGGAGGCACATAAAACTGTACAGGATAGGAAAGGAAGGGAAAGTTCTGTTATGTGAGTGGATGTCTGCCTGCACAACACTAAGTGAAATTTCAAGTTATTGTCTTATTCCAAACCCAGTTCTTTTTAGATGAACAACTGATGTCTGAAAAATTGCTAGGAAGGCAAGGGAAGGAAAAAGAGTGGGAAAGAAAAATAGTTTATTGAGATCAATACTACATTGCCATTGACAAGAGTGAAAAAATGGACTCCCACAGAGAGTCCACTGGGGGCGAACAACAACAACAACAGCCGCCACCATTTACAATTTATGCAGTCATACAGGAAATACATGCAGCATGTAGGTAGCCCCTGAATGGACTACAAAAATGGCATCTGTACAAGATGCTTTTATAATCTATCAGTTACATACATGGGGGATCATGTACATAGCCTGATAGAGCCACATTAGGGTAAAACAATCGGGTTGAACACAAAACAAAAAGAGGAAAGGCAAACATTAGCATGCCTAAGGTGTGCCCCCAAAGGACAGGCCTATTAGCATTTCTAAGGTGTAACCGTGGGAAGCAAGACTTGTAACATGGACTCCTGACCAGATCAGGAATCCCAGCTTAAGTCTAAAGCTGTTCTTACAGTGTCAGGCTTTTAGCAACCATATTATGGCAGAGCACTTGCTCCTTTTGTCCTGACACCATATAAAGTGGATGAGCTGTGTTCAGCTTGCTGGGTCTCAAGTTGTGTCAGCCTTGTCTAAAAAGCAGGATATGTTATAATCTGAAAACAAAGTGAGATATGAAAAGGTCATTCATCTTGGTACAGATCTGTAAGTATCTCACTGCATCACTGTGTAAATGAAACACTAACATAGTATTAAGAAGTCTTCTGTTTACCTTCAGTTTTGTCCCAATGCCTTTAGTTTGCATTACTAGAATGGGATCCCTGTAACCAGATGCTCTCAAATCAAAGGAGGCAGGAATACCCCCCTGATGGTCACAGGTGCCTGCAAGAGACATCCAAGTCAAAGACACTGTGGACAATGGCATTTCCACTGAAGACTGATATCACTGCCTTCCTTTGCAAATCCTCATACTTATAGCTCAGTCAAGGGTGGGTGAAATGTTGGAAAGGGCGAATATACACAAAGAGGGCAATAGCAGTTATCCTCGCATGAATGAAATGTCACTCTTCCAAATTCTTATGCATTTGATTTACACATGTTTACGTATCATTTGATAGGAAATAACATGGTCTCTCTAATAACCTGGAATGCTATTGGTTGGTTCTCATGATCATGGAGGAAAAATAAGTCACAGTGGCTTGTTCAAGGGTTTATTATTATTATAAGTGGGGTTCCTAAATGTTGACAAGCCAAGTCAAGCCAAAATCATATAATGATTTCAATTAATCATTTCAATTAATAAATATGAAATTTATATATTTTCTAGGGTTTCAAAGTGGTTTGTAATCTTGCTCACTTTGGTTACTCAGGCAGCTTGCAGGCGGTGCTCATACAGAAAATGAGCCACAGTGGCTTATTTTACCTCTGGGATCATGGTCCATTTGTTAAATGCCTCCTTTGAAAATTACTGTGTTTGTGAGGGAGATTCAGGAAATCAAACCAAGGTGACTTGCTTTAATCAGTGATGCATGCTAACCACCATTTCCCCAATTTCTCACCAGGATGCAACTTGTGTTTGCCACACCCAGGCAGGATGACTAACTTTCAACAGTCCATGGCCCTACAACAGGTTGTGGTTTAAACAAGCCACCATGGCTTATGAAGCTTGATCGGATCATGAGCATGTGGTCAATAATTACATTTGTCTGCATGCCTGATCTATGTTGGCCTTTTCATACATATAATTCACAGCTCGATGTTGCAGATACTTAGTGGTGAATATATGGGTTTGAGCTGACCCTTCAGTTTCACATAATGACCATGTCTGATGTTCAAACTATTCTCCACATTATGCCTTTGAACTGTCACTGAGGTGCAGTTTTGTGAATTGCACCATGAATGCAGATAACCTGAACCAATATCTGTAATTGTTGGGGGTGAATCCTGTGGTGCTACTGATGGCAGAAATTGTTGCCAAGATGATCCATCTGGATCTCTAAACAGATGGCACTTAATAAGCATCACTCTATGTCAACCAGAGTATAGATTCAAGCAGAGAATCCTAAAAACCCTTAGCTAAAAACAGTTTCAGGAACACATGTATTTTCTAATAGGAGATTATTTAGGGACAATTATCCCACAAGTCCCATTGCTTTTATTACAGATCTGTAAACTAAAAAATTAGAGAAGCTTGTGAAATTCAATGCTAGTCACTGTAATAAATTGAACTACTTACTTTTTAAATATTTGAGTTTCTGTATAGCAGTGCAAGTGCTAAACAGCACCAACAACACTTGAAAGTTCCTGTTTCTCTTTTAGATTCTACTTTTACCCTGCACCAGTGGAAAACAGCAGGTGTTACTGTTGTTGCAAACAGAAGGTGAAAACTGGAACAGGTTTCAGATCCACCCAAATATGCAATACAAATGCATAACCAGGCGTCTGTCTGCATATTCTATTCAGCAATCACAGTATGTGAAACTAGAGAGGTCTGTTGATATTTCAGCGGAAGAAGCATCACCTCTGCTGACTTCCTGCTATGGAGGCCTATGCCATTCTTCCCCAGTCTTTTTCTCTTCCCAGCAGAGCACAACATGAGGATTCTAACCATAATCTTTCTTAGGTTAAAACTGGCCAGCCAGGGCTGGCTTTGTGACACAGAATGAATAATGTAAAGATTGTTAGCAAGAGGCATCCATAAGCTAAGACCTTTTCATTGTGGAGTTAGTACTTGTCCATGCCAGGAGTTCATTGCAAAGAGCAGGTCTGGATGAGATACCAGCTAACGACAATGGGCAAAAAAGCATTTTTTTTGAAGCTAGAAGCAAAATGTTATTTGCAGGTAAAAAATGGATATGTCATGGTCAAAATCATCTCAGAATAGGGGATTTGCAGCTTTGTGTGAAAGTAAAGGGAAACTAAGAAGCAAGTGACCTTAAGTTGGGTGGCATCACTTCCAGGTAATGTGCATTTACCTAAAAGGTCCTAAAAGATTTCAATACATAGGGATGCCCATAGCCCTCCAAACGCATAGGATGGACATTGTATGCAGGGCAGAAAGATGCAGACATAAGATTGCTTCTGGTTCCTCTCACTCTGGAAAGGACTTAGATGGCCCATTTTGGCTAAGTGTGAGGTTCAGCTAGGATGTGTTGTCTCTTGGAAGTTCGAGTCTCCTCCCGCCTCCATCTCTTAAACCTCTCCTTCAGGGTTGTTCTTATGGCCTTGGGGAAGCAACCAGCATGGTTCTTTTCATGTCAGCTACCAATTGCGTTTTTAGAAGCACAAAAAAGCTGACTGGCCTCTAGACACTGCCTAGTGGTCTTAGGATTGTTCTGCCCATCAAATGAATGTTGCACGACACAGTAGTAATCATTAACAATCCTCCTGCTTCTTTTGTGCATGATAATTGTCATATGAACAAGAAATGATACTGAAGAAAGGTTCACATTAGGTAGCTGCTAAACATATGCATGGTTGGATTCATTTTAGAGAAATCTGAAAAAAGAAGTTTGTCCAAAATCTGTTGGCAATGAATTAATTAATTTTGCCCTCACCTGCTTTGGAGCCACTTGCAACTGATAGCTTGGATGAGTGAGCCAAGACACTACAGGCTAAGGAAACTCCAATTTTGTCTTCATATGGGCTTCTAAAATAACACACATAAACACACACACATCATTGCTGTAAACGTAGCAGGAACATCCAAAGAATAGGGACAGAGAACAAGTAACACCCCATCCCCATCACTTCAGCGTTGTTCTTGGAACTTTTTAGAACTGCCCCAGAATGAGAGAGCTGGGCACATGGGCCTTCTGTGATGCAGGCGGAAAGAAATCCAACTGCTATTTCTTGTACGTTGCACTTTTGAGGACAGGTTCCTGCTGACATTATTCATGTATTTTAATATAATGAATATTGTGTTTTAATTATTGCTATTGCCTATTTTGCAATAAATGCAAGTTGTTACAATGTTGGCTTTATTGAAATGGATTGTTTATACAGATAGTTATACTATATTTTGAAATGAATTGGTATTAAAAAGTATTTTTCAATGAAAAAGCAGCAGTACTGATCATAAGAAAAAAAATCAAAATCTGTATTTTGAATTTTAAAAAGGTTGAATATGAAAAAATCAAATTTATGTATTAATATTCCTGTAATATATGCATGAAGTCAACCAAATGATCACAAAAAGCGTGCAAGCTTTTAAGATTTCAAAATCTCCTGATCAGGCAAGATATTACAAAAAACAGACATGGCCAGGGGTGGGAGGAATAGGGAGAAAAAGCCCTGACTAAAGTCACCTGTTTGTATTTTCAGAGTTCCAAGCTGAAAAGGCGGGGACAGGGGGTCTGCAGACATCCAAACTAGGTTTTGCAGCCTGTATGATGATTACAAGGATGGATCTAGAGCTGCCCTTAGGATTGCTGAGAACAAGAAAGGGGGAAATGTTGACTACCCCATTTTGAGGCAACTCTCCTCCTCCTGTTGTTACTCTGATGTGCATATGGGCCCATTTTGTCAGTGGAACAGAGAGGGCACCTGGGCAGTCTTTATATTAATCAAGTTGGACATAATGTTGAATGCTGCACACTGTATAAGATGCCTGATAATGAGATCTGAAGGTCTCCTAAACCGGCACATTTTTGCAGTTTTTGGTTGCCTAATAAAAGCATCACGCTAATATGTAATTTAGACGCGTGTATGTGGAAAAGCAGGGTAACATTCTGATGGCAACAGCAGTACTTCTTGCTTAACGTGGTAATTTTCAGAAAATCCTGGGCAAGTTCATAAATACTGGTTTTGTTCATATTATGCTTCTGTTTACATACACAGCTTGTCTGAAGAACTTCATAGCCTGATGACCAACATCTTTTCCATACGTAGCACCTGGAAAGTAAATGACTGCTACTCCTTTGTAGACATCTTCAAGTGCGGATGGGAGGTCCTGCTTGACTGCAGTTACAGTAACAACCCTGCTTCCATGAACCAGCACCTTGTCATCCTTCCTTATGGTAGCTCCGTGAAAGACCTCCAGGCCTAGCTCTTTTGCATGAAGGAGCCCTACAAAAAGGACAAACAACATTGGCTGCATCAGTGTGGGCAATTGTATTGTCAGTGCTAGCACTTTATGGGAGAATTTTCCCCAATTTTCACTGGGAGAGAGAGAAAAAAATACCTTTACATTTTTCCAGAATGTCTCTGTTGAAATGCTTAACAAGAAATAAGAATAGTGCAATTGGGTACATTTTATTCAGAAGTAATTCCCATTCATTTCAGTGGTGCTTACTCATAGGTAAATGAGAATGCAGTCCCAATAAATAATTTAAAGTACTAGAGGATTACTGGAGTAATTTTCTTTGGTGAAGTATAACAAGTAACATAAAGCAAAAATCTCATGAGTTATTGTTATGGCTTGCAATAGAAATAGTCAGAAAAGAAGAATTACCTGTGATCTCATTGCACTCCTTAGAGCATCCTTCATACTCTTTGCTTACCATGACAACTGACACAGCATTACAGTTATCTAACCAAGCCACAGTGAAATCGCTGAGCCTGCCATCAATAGTGGCTTGGATTACTTCATAAAGATCATTTTTTACAAGTTGAAGAACTACCTGTAAAAATGAACACAGCAGGTAAATGTGCATATTTAAATTACTTTTGTAATAACTACTGTATTTTTAAATCCAAAATATTATTTTTGTTTCCAAAAATCTCTGAAATGAAGTTTTCTAGTGACCACAAGCCACAGCGGAACATTTAAGGAACAAACCTATGCATATTTAGGCAGAAAAGAGTCTGTAATTTCCAGCATGTCCCAGACAACATGCTTGGAGGGATGCTGAAATGAGCACAGCGCTGCACTCTTACTAAAGTTTTCTTAATTCCCTTAAATGTGGTCAAGCAGCAGGTAGAGCACCTAGCTGGCTTCTTTCCAGTCCCAATGTAATTGTGAACTATGTTGGACGTACAATGAACAATGCTGGACGTACCAAAACTTTGTTTAAAGCTTTAAACTTTTTTTTTTCATATTGCAAATGCCAGCTGTCAAACCTGCTTTCATTTATCTCCATTTTGACAGCTATGGGCAGTCCCTTTAAGGTGCTCCAGCATGAGAGTTTTTCCTATATTTGGCAAGCTTTTAAAAATTATTTTGGTGTCTGTTAATGTTTGCAAATTTTCAAAATGCATATGTACATATGTGTGTGTATATATAAAATTGCACTTGCAGAGTTGCACACATGTGTGCAAATGGGGAAGCTCAGGTGGGAAGTCCAGCAGGTATCCACCCCGGGTTTTGCCCGCAGAAACAGTAGGTAAGTTTATTGTTTTCTTGGTTATTTCTAACAGCTGTCAAAAGGCAAGATGTCAAATGCATCCAAAGCATAAGTGATCTTGGCTCATGAAAAACAAGTGGTGCATCATTAATTCCCCTGGTCAAGGCCAGATCCTTCGGTTCCAAAGTGCCCTCACTTTCGCACTTTTCCCCAGGAACACGCCAGGGCACAAGCCACCCACTTCATGGGAGTAGCTACATTGACAGTAATACTTCAGTTTTCGAGTGGAATTTTAAATGGGTTTTTTAAAAATGGGTTTTTAAGGGGTTTAAAAAGGGTTCTTTTAAACATGGCAGGAAAGTCTGTAACTGTGTTATATTTGCTTCCTCTTACTTAATTCACACTGCCAAGTACAACACTATAAACACTACCGTTGTGCTACCACTGCAAAAATTACAAAGATTTGTTGGTTTAGTGGTTTTCTGCTTCACCTGGCACTGAGGGTCACCAAAATGGCAGTCAAAGCTTAAGACTTTCAACCCATCTTTGGTAAGCATCAATTCTATTTGCAGCACACCTGGACAGAGAAAAGTAAAAGAAAAATTAAGAGAATGATAGAGGTTAATTATATCTGTGCATACCTCTCGTGCATATGTTCTTGCATTCTCTTTCCTTTTAGCCTGTAGGTGCCAGCAGTGGACTATTTATTCACTTATTCAGGCTTCCACACCCTCAGAGTTATAGATTCCTTTTTATTACAAGTTACACTTGGAAACTTAACCTGGTAGCAAGCAAAGCACCTCCTACTGGCTTCCACATCACCAACATACTCCCAGAGGGATGGCACAACAACAAAGCCACACCTGGTGGGACTGACCCACATCAGGTACATGTTAGAATCATTCCTTCACAGGCCCCATAAACTACATTAGGTCTGCAGAGTGGCTTCACAGGAAGTCGAATTTAACTCAGCAGGCCATACTCTTGGGCAAACATACTTTGGATTGCCTTGGAAGTATACCACAGCATAGAACAAGACTAAGGTATAAGCTGAAGTAAAGTGCAACAAATCTACAAGTTCAACAAATCCGATGGAATCTGAGCTAGCAGTGACTGAGCAAGAAAGGGATCTTGGGTAGTGGTAGGCAGCTCAATGGAAATGTCAGCAGAGTGCACGGTTGCTGTGAAAAAGGCAAACTTCATGCTAGGCATCTTTAGGAATGGAATGGAAAATAGAACTGCCAACATCGTACTCCCCTTACACAAATCTTTGGTGCAACTGCACTTGGGGAATATTGTATTCTGTTCAAGTTGCCTTACCTGAAAAGGACATTGTTGAGTTGGAAGAAGTACAGAAAAGGGCAACAAAAAAGATCAAGTGGCTGGAGCAGCTCTCCTACAAGGAGCAACTATGACAACGGGGACTGTCAGCTAAGACAGGTGGTGAGTAAGGGGAGATATGACAGAGATATTTTACATAATGCTTGGTGTAGAGAAAGTTGAGAAGGAGACTTTTTCCCCCTCTGCCATAACACTTGAACCTGGGGTCACCCCATGAAGCTGATTGGTGGGAGGTACAGGACAGATAAAAGGAAGCACTTCTTCATACAATGTAGAGTTAAACTCTGGAATTAGCTGCCATAGGAAGTGGTTATGACCACCAATCTGGATGGTTTTAAAAGGGGATTGGACAGTGTCATGAAGGAAGAGGTTAACAGTGGCAACAGAGGTGGCCTGCCTGCATACACCAATCACTGAGGAGCCTAGACAGGCGAAGGGCTTGCACCCATGCTGCTTGAGCGATCCTCTGGCCAGCTGCCTTGCCCCCATGTGTACAACATGCTGGACTAGATGGACCTTTACTCTGATCCAGCATGGCTATTCTTCTGTTCTTGTGTCAGTGGAAAAAGCTCACATTTTCCATTAATCAAAATACCCTCTAGAAACTGACAAAATGGGACTCATAAGAACTTACTGCACTGAGAAGACAACAACAGCCATATATATTCAACATCTAATTCATAAAGCAATTCAAAAACATAGCACAAAGTAGTATCACATGTGAGGATAATCTACAGAACAATTCTCTTTCCTAATACCATGAATGAGTGTCACCTCTTACCTACGTATGACATGCCTTCTTGCTTTATGCTGTCAAGAATGTGTTGAAGGAGTGTGCTTTTAATTTTTCTTAGAAGAACTTCAGAAAGCTATAAAGTGGTAGGAAATGGAGGTTTTAAGAACTCTCTATGCTAGGTTTCTCTCCAATGCACATATAATACTGTATTATAAAATTGACTGAAGAGAATGAATCTAATACTTGTTAGAGTAGCATTCCCCTAGAATAGTTAGCAATTTAAAACGAAGCATTTATATCATGCATGGTCCATATAGGCAATATATTATTTAGCAGAATAGTACTTGTGGATCATTCCACTGTGGGATTCAAAAACTGAACGTAAATCATCCTTTACAGTTCACATTGCATTGCTCTTTTACTAATGGTTGATAATTGGTCAACGCAGCACTGCAGCTACCACAATAATCCAGCAATAATCTGATTCTGCTCTCAGGCAGGCAATGATGTCCACGTGCTACTACTTGCAACTGCTTATTGAGCAGGAGGGCAATGTCCTACGTGTGAGCTTCCCGTAATTCCTTCGTTTGGCTACTGCAGGAACAACATGCTGGAACAGAGAGGCCTTGGTCCACTCTAGCAATGTAGCTCCTGCAACCCAGTTCTGCTGGGAAACAGGCGTGCAAGGGCTAAGCCTGAACCGATTCACAAGACTATTGGTATTCTGAGAAAAAGAAGTAAACATCTGCATCTTTCTGAATTTTGCATAAATCATATTTACTATTCTTATTTTAAATCCTTGTGCGCAGTTCAATGGTTTTTTAGAAGCCAAGCAGTATATCCATATTAATACCAAACAAATATTATTGTCCACACAATTTAAGATTGCAGATTACCTTTGCAATCTTAGGGAATAGAAACTTGATTGTTTTTAACAGAAAAACAAAGAAAGCAGGTGTTATCAGGTTATATTTAACATACAGAACCAGTTTCTGCTGGTGCAATACAACACAACCTGCTAGAATCTTGACAACGTCATATTCCTGTATTAAAAATAAGCCAATAGGTATTGTGGTTTTCCTAGAAGGGCTAGAAAAAAGCATCAAAGAAATGATTCAGAAAACAGATTATATGACTTCCATTACATATGGTATTTCGCCATCTCAGCTTTATCACATGAAATCCTAAATAGATTGTGAAGAATCTTTTTATACCTGAGGTACAGGACCATAAGCTCCCATTCTGACAGTGCCTGTACACTGGCCTCCATCTAGGAGTTGCCGCTGTACCTGGACTGGTGGCATAACAGCAAAAGTGACTCCATCCACAAAGCACAAGATCTGTGAAAAAATGAAAGAAAACAAAGAGCACGTGTGAAGAACAAAAACCACTGTGTTGTGTGTTCTTTTCCATTAGCAACGTGCATCAGGTTGCCAGCTGTTCAACCAGACCTTGCAGCTGTGACTTTAACAGTGGCTTGATCTGCAGAAGTGAGCAGGAACTTTTGACATCAGGGAGGTGACCATTCACCTGCTGTGAGGGCCATTGTTTTGCAGGCCTTGTAAAATTTAGCAAACTATTCTGTCGTCCTCTACCCTTGCAATGAGCTGAAAACATTGATGGAAACAAACCACAAGTGCTTATTTCCCCCTACTGCATATGCTGGTTTCATGCCAGAAAGGATTCCTTAGTTACATTTGCAGACAAGTCCTGTTGTCAGAGACCAGGTGGCATGGCTTGTTTGGGTGGGCAGCAACCCTCAAGCAGCTCTTACTTGAACATCGGTGCCTTGCCACCTGGATTTAGACAAACGTGCCACCTGGATTTAGACAATGCCACAAGCTGTGCCAGTGACGGTAGTTAGACAAACCCAGCCAGCCTGCACTGCAGGGAGAATATTCCACTATGCTTTAGCATGATGGTGTGAACTCAGCCACGCTTCTGAACCTCTTCCTTCCACACACCCTCGCCAGGTCTACTTCCCTGTTTGTGGAGCTGCTGGGGGTGGGGCAGGGCAAGAGGAGGAGGACTTCCTATAGTAGCTTTGCCCACCTCGGTAACCCCAGATGCCTGGGTCAGATTATAATCTCCATGATGGCTGGGAAGATGTACAATACAGATGAAGGCCTCCAGTTTGGAGACAGCTGCTACACAGTAGTTCAGGCCAGCTGTTTGACAATGAAGCAAATGAAATTCATGCAGAATGAGCGCATGTCCTTCCAGAGAATGAGCCCTTCTCTGGAAGCTGCTCCCCCACCCTCCAATCATCCAGCCCCCTCTTCAACTCTGAAAAGAGTTGTAAACAGAACCCAAACATCCTTTGATGGACATTCCAATGACTATGCATCAAGATCGACTTGATGCTAAAAACAATGCACTTTGGTCTCTTAAATGCTGATAGTTTCGATTATGCAGGAGGCATCAGTTCAGTATCTCTTATAAAGCACTCCCTTATATAAGCAGCAGTCTAGCTTGTCTGCAGGTTTTTTGGTCCCCCTGTCATTTAGCCAGTTCTTCCTAATATTTAGCCATCTCAGGGCCCTATTATTATTTATTATTTGTACCACTTCTATATTACTATTTTAAAATAAACATATCTTTTTAGGTTGGTCAGGCTAAGAGGAAGATAGGATCACCCAGCAAACCTCATGGCAGAACGAAAGTTCTTGAGACTGAATTCCCATTCCAACACATTATACTACCCCTCACTGGAAACTATTATGAACGTCTGTTATGAGAAATACTTAATAATAAGGATATGCCCAGCATTGTGCTAGGGGCTATGAAAATTGTGTTTATGTTGCTTCTGTTAAGAAATCAGATTAAGATTTTCACACATATAAGAACAATCCAAGCAAATATGTCTATGTTATTTACTAGGAAACGTACAGAAAACTCTTCCCCTTCAAGAAGTTCTTCTATGATAACCATCTCTTGGTGGTCTCCAAAAATGCGGTCCTGCATTATAAATATGACATCCTCTGGTGAGCTCTTCTTTCTTTACATCTTTCCTTTTTTTAAAATGAAAATCCATTTTTAGACCATTTCCTATCCAAATAGTCACTGTTTGTTCTTCACATGCTGCCCACATTGCACTCTGACGCTACACTGGTCAAATAAAATAAAAATCAGGTATGTTTTGCAAGATAAATTATACGAGCAGACAGTGTATGTCAGAATGCATGGATGTGGTCTCGATCCTATGAAACTGAGCAAGCATTTGGGAATAAAAGCAGACTGTGTGGCAGCATTGTGGAGATATGTATGTGAGAAAAACTACCTCAACAGTTTGACTGAGATAATGATTTACACAGCCAGAAGGAAAATTATATGCAGACCTCCTAGGCAGGCTGCATCACCTCAGAATACCAACCAGAGATTACATGTTTGAATCTTCATAGATAGACAGATATATCCTTGGTCATTAATCAATAAATATCCTCCCCATAGAACCCTTCTCCTTGAGAAGCTACCTGTGTACAGGCAGAGTGTTTCACAGGGAGATATTTCAATGTGAAATGTTACTCCTTGCATTTTCAAGAGTCATAGTCCAGGAGAACTATGAGCAACTGAATGTACAGATGGCTAAGGGCGTAATCCATTCCTATGGCTTCCCAGTGTTGTCTGTTTTGGAGCTGGGATTCTGAAACTGAGCATCCATTCTGCCACCTTGCAGAAAAAAATGGCAGACTGGGGGAAGAGAGCAAAAGAAGCTGGTGCACTGACAAGAATCAGTGTAAGGTGCTGATCTCAGCTTCCTTCCTTTCTCCTCCCCAGTGCTAAATCTAATCTGCCAAAAAGGTCATCTAGAATAAATGCACAGGGTGAGGTGTGGCAACAGTGGCAAAGACCTCCACCATTCCTCCCTGCATGCATTGGATGCGTATTAGCCTCTGACTTCAGAAGCTCTTGTGCATCAAGGGTGTTGGACCCTAGATTGCACCCTAACTGTATTGACTGATACAGTTAGTCAGATATTTGGCTTATACAAATTCACCTAGTTGGCAAGTAGGTTGGTCTCTGATCTTTGAGAGTGCAACCTACAGTTCTCACTTCTAACAGTTTGTCTATTTTACTTTCCCTTATTAAAATATTTGTATCTTACCCGTTTGCCCCAAAGAACCCCCAAGATACTAAAACCAGAATACCTCAAATCAAAATCAAGAATAATTTTAGCTGAACTCCAGCTATGAATTTCAGTTTGTTATGATGAACATAGAGAAAACATGGCACATACACCACAAAACTAATGCTCCATAATGGATTTTAGTCATGGTTCAGTTTGAAATACTGGGACTCAACTCTCTTGCATTTAAGCATTTACCGTTACATAAAGCTGACAAATCAGAATAAAGCACATGACAGTTTAACACCAAGTCACCTGCAGAATTTCTTGTGCTGCCTGGCAGGCTTCTTCTTTGTTGGATGTAAGAATTACCTCTTTTCTAGAACCAAAGCCACTAGGCTTTACCACTAATGCGGGAAAGTCTGCACTTTAAATTAAGATATAGCATATTAGAGGAAAACCAGATTTATACTACATTGTCAACATTTCTCTTTCATTCAAACCAATTCTGGAATGCTACATTTGGCATAGACAAATAGTAATACCCTCCACAGAATCATGACAGTTCTGGTGTGAATTCACTTGTTAGAAGGAAATGGAGGAGAGGCCATAGGCAGTAGTGTGTTTAAAGAAAAGCACCATTGATCTCTCAGTCTTTAAAGAACAAATGTCTACACTATTTCCATTTCTTCCCACTACTCATGTACTATTTTTAACACCTTTTCCACTGTTTTCCTGAGCAATGTTCAAGTTATTTTCACACCACTTCACACTCATGGCCATTTTGGCACATAAGTACATACATACATACAAGACCTGGAAATAATCTAAAGGTTTCCTTTATATTCTGCATGTATACCATTCCAGAAGCAGATGCAAAGGGGGATAGAGCCACAGCTGCCCTGCCCCAATACTGACTACAGATCAGGCAAAACCAGAATGCTGTTGTAATTGATGTCAAATGGTAATACAAGTACACACAAGAAAGGAGAGGGTAAGGAGCAGCGCCCTCTTCAGGGCTAGGAGCTGAACTGCTTCAAGACAGAATGCTCCTAGCACTACTAATCAAAGTACATTTTGCAACTATTCATTTTCCCCCATAACAGTTTTTTTAGGTAACAAAAAAGACAGAAGAGGAGGTACGAAAACGGAAAATTTACATGTGGAAGATATTAGCTGGCACTCTGGTAAAATTCTGTGAATGAGATAGGGCTGCTCTGTGTCATCTTTTACAGAGGATAGTTCTTTATTAAACAGACTGCCAGGGAATGGTTCTCTATTGAAGCCGTTTTCTATTTGAAGGGCGATTCAGTCCAGTTCCAGTTTAATGATAAGAAACCATAAGAAATACTGTCCATCAGTTATATCTGAACATTAGACTGAGCAGGTGAGCATACAGGTCACCCAGTACAGTATTTCAGAGTACAGTGAGATGTACTGTATTTCTATTTAAATTATAACAAATTTTACATTAGCATTTACATTTTTTGGTCATTCATAAGTGGCCACTCCAGGCAGGGCAATTGTGCAATAAAAGCATTGTCTGGAAGCACCCTTGGACTCAGAAACCAATTGCAGACCCCAGCTTGCCATATTTTTTTGGCGCAAAGTTGATCTGTGGAGAGAGATGACACAGGGAAAGCTAATGACTAGATTCAGACAGTATAATAGCACACACCCAAGGACTATGTATGAATAGATTATAGGTTGATGCTGGAACATGTTTTACTGTGTTGCCTGAACCTAACTATGCTAACAAGCCATGGCTTGTTAACTACAAATAAGCCATGAAGAAAATCCATGGCTTGCTGTTGAGTTGGGAATTATGGGTTGTTCACCAAGGCATGTATGGCTGGCTTCAGTCAGCATGATAATCCATGTTCCCACAGGAATTTGCTTTTCAATGACAAGTCACACTGCAACATCAAGCCACAATGAACCCTTGAATGTGGTATATTTTGTTGTTTGAACCCAGAGGGAGACTAAATTAATGTCAAGAGTGGAGAGGCTGATCTTCTAGTTCTAATTCTTCTATATGTCTAATATTAAACTGCTGTATCTTCTCAGTACAGTTGAAAATCCCTTCAGATATATCTTATTCAATATTGGACCTATTTACAGTAGGCCTGTAAATCTAACTGCCCAATTCCATACATATTTACTCAGGCATAAATACTACTGAATTCCAAAACAGTATAGCATAATTGCTGTATAATTTTAATTTCATCAGTTACTAGTTCTCTTTTAAAAGCAAGCAAGCAAGCAAAGGTTAACCATACTGTGACTGTGATCAATTCATCTCTACAATACTGGATGTAACTGCTTATCACTCTATTATTTGCCCATGAAAGCAGATGTAAAACTGTGGCTGAAGCATGTATTTATCACATCCTGAGTACCTGGAGTCTTGACCCCCAAAACCTTAAAAATACTTCTGGGATTCCTGCCAACTTGTACATTTGCCGATATGAAAAACCCAGTATGATAGTCAAATTTAAAGAGCTGATATCTACTAATATGCTAGCAGGGAAAATAACATTTACCTGTTAATAAAGGTTGAAACTTCGTGAAGATTTGAAAATGCCTTCCATCTTGCCGTGGGAATTGCATGTTGATCAAGGAAGACATTAGCAAAAATTCTGTTTGTTCCCAGTTGCACTGCCTTGGCTGTAGGGCCAAAACATCTCACTCCAGCTGCTCCCAAGTCATCAACAATTCCTAACAGTAAAATACTGATAAGCTCGGACAAAACTTCCTATGTAGTTTAGGGTGCAATCCTATGCATGTTTAGATAGAAAAAAGTCCTATAATTCCCAGCATTTCTCAGACAACATGGGAATATTAAGACGTTTTTCTTTCTAACTATACATAAGATTAAGCCTTTAACTTCATATAACTTTTCCTCCACATCCATCTCCAAAAGGCATCAAAGAACTAGAAAAAGCCATCAAAATTATCCTGTGAAGATAATCATTATGAAGGGAAGTTCAAGTTGTTGTAGGGGGCTTTTTACTTTAAAAACAAGGACTGATACCTTTCTTGATGATACACCTTAAAAACATTTTTTCTGGATTTGTAATTGACTTGTCAAAGACAGTTCAGGTGCCTTTAAAAACAGAACTGAAAAAAAATCATGAACCACTGGGCTCTTAGTGGTTACTAACCATGTTACCCAAGAATGGAATTCAGAGTGATTACAAGATTCTTGGGACAAACAGAATGACTGTTTCTATTGCAAGTTTTTAGAAGCATCTAACTGGACACTCTTGAACTACATAGGTCTTTACTTTGCTCAAGCAAAACAATTTTTATGACACGTTCCTAGATGTCATGGACTAGCCTCTCCTAACCCAGGGTATCCAGATGTGTTGGACTACAACTCCCATCACAACAGCAAGCTCTTTTTCACAGCAATGGGTTAGAATGATGGGAGTTGTGGTCCAACTCATCTGGAATGTCCCACATTAGGAAAGGCTGCTGTAGACTTATGTCTGGGGCCCGGCAGGACTATCAGCAAGTGCTGATCTGTCCAGAACAGCAGACCAGAAATTGGTGCCAATTACTACAACTCAGCCAGCTCAGTTCAGTTCTCTTCTGCTCCCTGTTCAGCCATACTGTGTCCTAAATACTGGGCTTCTTGCTCAGTGTAATACAACACCTGTGTTATGCAAGACTGGGGTTTTAATTTTCAGTCTAGAATCAAGCTTTTGGCTTTGTGAGTTGTTCCAACCTTACCAGCTGCAAGCTGAGCTTCTGGTCCAGCAATCACAAATCCAATGTTATGATCCTTGCAGAACTGGGCAAGGATTGTATGGTTGCTAATTAAAACAGCTGAAATGAAAATAAAGATAAATAATTGACAAGTGGGTCCTGATGTAGAAAAATAATAAGCTAATTACAGAAATGTAAAGATCCAGTCAAATAGATAGCTCTGAAACAAAGAAAGAATGCAATGAATTGAACTTCACAAGAAAAGCATCCCCTGGGTGTCAGTCCACCTGCAACAAGGTGGAACTGGGTGGTGGGGGGGGAGGGCGCTGAGGAATCAATCCTATTTGGACAGACCTCTGTCTGATATGGGGCAATCTCCCTTTCCCAGCTGCCAACCTCATGGGCCATCCCATGTTATTCAAGAAGACTTCCTATAGTAAAATCATCACTACCTAAGCAGAAAGGACTTCTCCATTTTAGCCCACATCCATTTAGACATGATTATTGCTTAAAAAACAATTACTGTACAAAAGAGATGTCATACTATTTATTTATTCAATTTAAAATTTGTACCCCATCCTATACATAAAAGTCTCAGGATAGTCCAACAACAAAGGAACAGCATAATATCCATGATAAAAGCCCAACTAAAATAAAAATCAAATCTTAAAATAATGGGAAAATAAAAAGGTTTTACTAACATGCAAACTCAGGGGAGTCATTTTCTTTTCTGCACTATTTAATTATTTAAAATTTTTGTATCCTGCCCTTTTACCGTGTCTAATTGAAACTGGGGAAAAATATTCCAACATTTTTTTAAAAAAACCCTAAACTTTTTCAGATTATGGCCTGCTGAAATTTGGCAGAGCTTCTGTAGGCAAGGCAAAATATTCCTTACTAGCTGACATGTAGCCCATAAACTATAAGTCAGTCATCTTTAATCTGCAGGAACTGTTTGCATTTTTTTCACCTACATTCTGTTTTATTCAGTTTAAAATGCAGACCTGTACAAACAGTGTAATCGTGTTTATTGTTCTCCTGCATAAAAACTTTCTTTCTATGGTAGTGAATCAAATGTGTTCCCCTCACAAAGCACTTATCTTTGTGCCGTATATTGTATACCACTTTTGGGAGGAGGCATGGAACAAATGCTTCCAATACTGTTCATTCAAACATATTAATGCATTTTAAACATAGCTTTTGCTTTCAAGCACTGGTTTGGAGCCAAGATCTGACCTCCATGAGAGGAAAGGATCTTTTATGATGGAAGTGATCAATTTGTGAAAGTCCCTCCACTTGATGATTGAGGATCCCCATCAGCACCATCCTTGGTCCTCTGTGTATCATTTTAAGGAGCTAGAAGATCTACCATGGCAAGAAGAGGGTGGTCCACTATAAGGTGATGATCTTTTTACCTGAATTGGAAATTTTCCCATGATTAGCTGTTCCAGCATTTCCTGGAGCAACCAGTACCTGCTTTACATGGGGAGACTGTGCCAATTTCCAGGCAAGAGCGTGTTCTCTGCCTCCGCTACCAATCACAAGCACTCGATCAGCCATCTACATGTGGAAAACAAGATTTGCATTGTCATTTCCAAGACCAGTGTCTCAATCCTGAATATTTTTTTTAATTGGGAAGTAAATGCAATTATGGCTGCCACCATAAAAAAGGAAAAATGGCCGAGAAAATTATGCAAAATGGCTTCCCTTTTCTGAGGTCAGGAGGCACAGAAAAAGGAAAATCTTGGAAATATTCTTAGAAAAAATGTCTTCAGAGAAAGTTTGAATCAGTTATGTCTGCAAGATGTGAAGGCTGTCTTATACTGATACTGTCTTATACTGAGACTATTGATCTATCTAGTTTAACATGATCTTGAGCGATTTGCATCTGCTTTCCAGGATTTGAGAGAGCGGACTTTCCCTGTCCTACCGGGAGATGCTAGAGACAGAGAAAAGCATGTGCTCTACCACCAATCAATGATTTTTCCTTGAAGTTTATACCCATACATGGTGAGAAGGGCTGAAAGTGTCAGAGAAGCCAAGAAGAATTCCACCAGAGCCTCAATGGTCTGGTCTCCTAGTAGGATCACCCAAGGAAGAATGGTCAGAGCTGAGGCAACAGACCAAGATGCATCCACCTTCTTCAGGGGTAACACTCACATCAGCAGAAGAGAATGAATATCTCTAATGGTGATGGGGACAAAGGTGATACGGGCAGAGGATTTTTCACAGAACAGCAGTGACACCCTGGCGAACTCTGGTTAGGACCACTCAGAAGAAAGCAATGGTATACCACTTCTGTAATTTTTCTTACCTTGGAACCCTATGATGAAACAATCCAAAACGAAACAAGAGTGTCAGAAGATGAGACTCCCAGACCAGCTACTAGGGAAGAGAAAAGGACAAGTATGAACAGCGCTGCCACTAATGACTGAAATAGATTAAAGCTGAAAGGAAGTGTAGTGGCTGAAATGCACAGAGGCAAAAGAAAAATCTGATGCTGCAAAACACATACAATTAGAACATGGAACATAAAAAGCACGAATCAAGGCAAACAAGAAATAGCACATATAAACATCAGAGTACTTGGTGTGAGTGAACTAAAGTAGACTGGAATGGGATATTTTCAGTCAGACAAACACAAAGTGTTTTACTCTAGAAATTAGAAATGGAGTGACTAATACTGAGACAACATGAAGCACAGGCAGTGAGGGGCTATAGTGAGTGTTTGAATCATGTCCATCGGAATTAGTGGAAAGCCTATCAAGTCTATACTCTAACAAGGGATGCTGAAGAAGAAGAAATAGAAGTTTTTGTGCAGACATTCAAGATATCACACCTAAACAAGGTTACTGAAATGCAAAAGTAGGAAACCAGTGGAATGCAATGTTGTGGAACAATTTGGCCTAGGGGTAAGAAATTAAGCAGGAGAATGACTTATATAATTTGGAGAAGCCAACAATCCTTTTATCACAAATACATTCTTCAGGCACACAGATAACTATATACATGGACATTACCAGATGGCCACTATACATAGCAAATACATTATGTGATTGGAGATAAAAGATAAAAGGCTATATTCTCACTGCCAAAACCAGTACTGACAATGAACTCTTAATATCAAAAATCAGAGTAGAGCTGGAAAAAATATCACTAACAGAGGCACGGCACCAAAATACGAATTACATAACATTCCTGAGAAATGAAATAAGGCCATTCCTATAATAGAAAGAAATAAAAAGTCCAGATGGATGACTGAAGAACACTCACAGTTGCAAAGGTCAGGAGAAAAGCAAAATGTGACAAAATAAGAGTCAGAATCCTGAATGCAACATTTCAGTGACTATCCTGTGGGAATGCAAAGAACTACTTCAATGGCCCATGCAAAGAAATAGAAGAGAACAACACAAGAGGAAAAACAAGCAACTTCTTTCAGAAGATTAAAGGAATCCAAGGGAAACTCAAGCCAGAACTTTCCTTAAAAGCAAAAATGACAAAACGGAGACTGGAGTACATCAGGCACCTCCGGTGAGAAGGCAAGACTCAATGGGGAGATAATTAAGCAAGAGAAGTTGAACGCAGAAAAAGAAGGGGAAGGTCAGATACAGTGGTACCTCGGCTCACAAACACCTTGGTTCATGAACAAATTGGGCCACGAACACAAATTTCATTAAAATTTTGACTTGGGTCACGACTCCACATTGGGTGGCGACCGAGATCACAGCCATCTCCCCTGCGGTTGTGCTGCACCCGTCTTTCCTGCAGCAGCGCGCCCGTGATCGCACACGTCTTCCCTGCACGAAAGCAACTGCGATCGCAGCCATCTCTCCACTCGGGGGGTGGGGGGGAGATGGCCGCGATTGCAGTTGCTTTCGTGCAGGGAAGACGTGCGTGATCACGGGCGCACTCCTGCAGGAAAGATGGGTGCAATCTCGGCCATTCCCCCCCCCCCCCATCAGCATGATTGCGGCCATCTCCCCACCCCCAGTGTGCCCTGTTTGCGCCCATCTCTCCCCCAGCACGTCCCGTTTGCGCCTGTCTCTCCCCCCCACCCCCAGTGTGCAGGGATGACAGGCGTGATCTCGGTTGTGTGGGGGGTGGGGGGAGATGGCCCCGCTTGTGCTCAGGGTGTGTGTGGGGCGGGGAGAAGGCTGCGATCTTTCTTGTTGACACTTTGCTTCACATTTCTGATTTAAAAAATGGTTACAGAACAGATTAACCTTATTTACATTGAACCTTATGGGGAAATTAAACTTGGCTCATGACCAACTTGGGTCACGACCAGCATCCTGGAAAGGATTAAGTTCAGCAGCCAAGGTACCACGGTAGTTCAGTTCCAGGAAGGAAGCCACGTCTTTGAGTTTGCAAGAGTGGGCCTGGGCTGTCACAGCAAGACATTTTAGAAGGCAATCATTTATAGGAGTGCTTTAAATCAAAGATGACTTGATGACCCATAGCAACAATGACCCAAATTAAAAAGCAAGCTGTGTGAACACGTATCTGCTGACGCTTATGGTACATGCATCAAGTTCACTTTCCAATAATGCTGTGAAGGCTAGACTAAGGGCAAAGAACAGAGGCTGTGTTAGGAGAGGTCCTACTATGGCTACAGGTCTGAATCATGCTTTTGCAGTCCAAAATCTCGGGGGGGGGCTCTGTCCCACCATGAAAAGGTCACCAGTAGAAAGAACGGTTTTCTGTGTATTCCTTCTCAGAGAATAAAATCTATCACAAACAGAAAAACAATGTGTATGTTTTTTTAAACTGGGGCAACCAAAAGAAACTCTCAGGAATGTGTTTGGGAAGGGACACTGCAGACAGCTAGTCCAATATTATTTCTTACATTTGCAGTTTTCACTGATTTAAATAATGTAACATCTTCATTTAGTGACCTTATTTGGGATATGAGCTGACAGCAAGCTATCATAAATGCCAAGAGAAAAAAGCACACGATGTGACCTTTAAGAAATACATTGTTGACATTATGCAGTCCTAGCCTATTAATTAAATTAATTCAAGTACTGTGAAATCTGCCAGCTTTTCTAATGAAGGAATGCACTTCTTCAAACATAAACATGACTTTCAAAATAAATATATTGCTGAAATAATACATAGAACCTAGCAGGTCAAGATATGGTCATCTGGGAAAGAAATTACAAAGAAAACATGTATAGTATGAAGCTTCATCATAGAAATGGGAATTCATACTTGGTTGTATTTTGAAATGTATAATGTGATGAATTTAATATTCACTTAACATTGCATTTAGAAACTTTAAGATCAGACTCCATGGGGATCTGTTGGTGACATACAGGTATGTGAGGGGGTGTCATGTGGAGCTGGGTCAAGACCATTTTTCCCCTGCAGATGGTGTGCTCCAATGGAGCAAAGCATAAGGAACCAAGGATACCAGGAAGTACTTCCTGGCAGTTAGAAGCCCTAGAGCAGGGTCCTCAAACTTTTTGACCAGGAGGCGAGTTGAAAGCTGCCGGTGCTGGGTGCGGGCCGGAAAGGTGGTGCCTGGCTGTGCGTGTGGGCTGGAGAGGTGGCGGGGGCAGTGCATGTGGGTGCGTGCTGAGGTGGGCCGGGGCGCACGGTGAGGAAGGTGAGGTGAGTCGGGGGCGGGCACATGCCTTGAGGCGGGCGCACGAGGCAGAGGCTTGCTCGCTTGAAGATCGTTTTCTCCGAGCGAGCAAACCGCTGCCTCCCGCGTGCGGGGTGAGGTGGGCAGTGGTGGGTGCGCATGTGGGCGTACGTATGGCCGGTCCAAATGGGCATGACAGGCCGGATAAATGGGCATGGCGGGCCAGATCCGGCCCCCAGGCTGTAGTTTGAGGACCCATGCCCTAGAGTATGGAATGGGATTCAACAGGAGGTGGTTGAAGCCCCATCAGTGAGGGTGTTCAAAGATATGCCTACCATGTGCATGTTCAGCCTATCATGAGTGGAGCTGGCTGGAACTGGGGGTCAGACTAGATGGCCTCGGGGACGCCTTCTGACTTGCTATGTTTCTATGTTTTATTAAGAATAAACAATTTTGAACACAGAAAATTAAACGAAACTGAACTACACAAATGAAACATTGTCTAACATTCACTATGAAGAATATCAAATCTGGCATTCACATTAAATTGTTCTTTATAAAGCATAAGAATGCACATTGTCTGGTGCATTATTATTCCAACATGCAATAAAAACACTCCATTTCTGAGTAAACATATGATCCCTGCTTCTTCCTCTTCATTAAAAATTAACCCATATATTTTCTTGACAAGGCACTAACATATGAAGCAATTTTCAATTGCAGTTTCAACTGTAGTTGCATAACACTTACCAGGACATAAATCCTATTAATTAGGACTTACTTCTGAGCATTGGGTTCCACTGTTGAATCCTTTTTATGCATCATAGGCAATTGCTGTAAAGTAGATGCATATGCTGAGCAGGGAGGAGAGGTTTCGAAAGAGTAGAATCTTCTTACCTTTACAAAAAAAAAAAAAAAAATTGGAAGAGCAACATTTCTTCTTACTTCCAGTTCTGCCCCCCACCCTTTCAAA